AATTAGCTACTGAGCGACGCGTAAGACGGCAGGGTATAAGAAGCGTCAAGAATTTTGGAGCTGTGTCCGAGGTCCGAGACGGCCCAAGCTCGGCCCGCAGGGCCCTCCGAAGCGGGCCGGCGCTGCAAAATCCAGTGTCGCAGGCGGCGTCGAGGGCTTCCAGGGGCCTCGAGGAGCGGAGGTCGCTCAAGAGACCTCTGGGAGGCTCTCTCATGCATGCTCCTCGGCACAAGGCACACGTGCACTGGGACACAGAAAAACACCCGACGGGGACAACCGACACCCCCCAAACGGAGACACCGCAGCCCCTACCTGGACACAGAAGCACCTTCCCTCTCACACAGAGCTGCGTCGGGGCTTCACCATCTCCACCATCGGAGGACGACGACGACGACGACGACGACGACGACGACGACGACGACGACGACGACGACGACGACGTCACACGCACACGCGCACGCACGGCACGGTGCGTCCACGCCCACGGCCCGTGGTGGCCACGGCGGCCCTCCCTGGATTCCTGTCGCCTTCCTGGGGGCATCCCCGGGGCTTCTCGCCGCCGCGGTGGGGTCCGCCTCGGAAGACGGGGCAGGATGGACAACGGGGGGTGGTCTGGGGGCCGGTGTGTGTGTGTGTGCCGGATTGGTTTCTGAATCGGCCCTACGACACCAGGAGCCCGACCTCCAAAATTCGCCTAGAGTTAAGTCGGGCCTGTCCCTCTACAGGAGGAATATTCAAAAATAGTAAAAAAATAGTATGGAGACGATTGTTTTTTTACTTTTTGTTGCTTATTGGGGGGGAGTATTCTTTATTTTCGCCCACAATCCCTCTGTAGGGGGACACGCCCGACTTAAGCCCAGAGGTTCGCGCCGCATCGCCCATACATCGATGCTGCGGCGCAATGCCTCCCACCGTCGCCGAGGCATCGCCCGGGCGGCGCGCTCTTCCGGCCCGGTCTGCTGCCTCGGCCCCAGTTGAGAGGCCTCCGGGGGTGGATCCCGAGTACGAGCGCACGGCATGCAGGAGCGAGGCGAAGCAGGTTTCTCTACATCCCTTCCCTTCGCTTCCCTCTCTCTCTCTCTCTATCGGTTTCCCCTGTTTTCAGTCCCTCCCAGCCTCCCTTCATGCCAATTCCCTCTGATGACATCGCTCCCACTACGCCCTACTTCCTCATTTTTTCTCCTCTCCTCTTTAGCATCTATCCTCTAACTGCATGGCGTGTTCTATATTATGTCATCTGGCTTCTATCCCTGATCCTTGACCCCCGTATCATCAATCCTCTACTATCAATCCGTCAATCCTCTGCTCAGACGAGCCACCGTTCACGGCCGGCGCCCGTGACGACTGTCGACACGATCACGACGAAAACCACCCATCCACCCGTCGTGAAGATCTCGGACGAGCTGAACTTCTTCAAGAAGGAAGGGTAACGGCTGCACAACGGCGACGAGGCCCAGAAGTTGGAGCTCAACATTCTCGGCTCTCCGACTGCCTCGCTCGTCCTCACCACGGTGGAAGCGCTCCTCCAGTGCGACATCGGAGGCTCCAGCAAGGGAGCCTTGCAGGCCTGGCTGGACAGAGTCAATTCGGACGACTTGGGCGACCTGGACACACCGCAGGGACATGATCTGCAGTCCCCCGTGCTCCCCCAGTTGCATGGCCCTCTTTCGCGCGAATCGCCCACTTAGGCCCGTTCGATTTTCTAGATCTGGTGCGCCGCCTCGCGCGGCTGTGCACTCGCAGCTAGTGATAGTGTATACAGAGAGCTGCCAGCGCGGCTCGCGATTCGGGCTGGAGACCGACGTTGTCTTGCCCGTCGACCCCTGCCCAGACTAGAATGTGCGTGTGGTTGGACGGTTATGATTCCCCTGTTCCTTTGGCTTCTCTTCTCCGCCAGAGCTGTTCGATCGCCCGCGCAATCCCGACTCGAATCGGATGGGGCCGCCGCTGTTTGGCCCGAGTGTCGACGCATGCCTATTCTGCGGAGGGAGAGTGCAAGCCCCGCGGTCCACGTATTATTGCCGCCATGCTTTCGTTCGCACATCTTCAAACCCCTGCAGTCCTAGGTCCCCCTTCCCGCGCCCCCTATCCCTCGCCCCTCGTCCCCCGCCCGTCACTTCCCCATGTCCCCCCCCAGTCTTTTCTCCATCCTGCCATGTTTTCCTCCTCGTCCTCCTCCTCCTCTTCCTCCTCCTCCTCCTCCTCCCTCTCAGAATCCAGCACACTTGAACGGTCGGAGTCGGCTATGCCTGGCTCTCACGTTGTGTGACCCTAGTGGGTTCCCAGAGTTCCAGTCCAGTCCTCCTCCTCCTCCTCCTCCTCCTCCTCCTCCTCCTCCTCTTATCTTCCTCCTCCTCCATCCCCTTCCCTCCTCCTCCTCCTCCTCTTCCTCCCTTTCCTCCCAGCCTTCCTGGTGGTTGTTCCTCCTCGGTCCGCGTCGTCCGCGCCGCTGCTGGGGCTCGAGACGTCGCGTTTGGCGGGGTGCGGCGGCGGGCCCATCATGCCGACGGCGGCGCGGGCGTGCTTCGGGGGAGCGGCGGCGCTTGCGGGGGGGACGGTGGCTGGGCGCGCGCGTGCTGGGAGGGAGGCTGGTGGCCACCAAGGCCACTGGAACGAGGAGGAGGAGGAGGGGGAGGAGGAGGAGGAGGAGGAGGAGGAGGAGGAGGAGGAGCAGGAGGAGGGGGCGATGGAGGAGGATGCGGATGAAGGAACATATAAAGCGAATGTGAGGAATCTGAATGGAGAGGAGGGACGAGGATGAAAGGCAGGTGCAGATGAGGAAGGCGGGGGTGGGAGGAGGAGGAGGAGGAGGAGGAGGAGGAGGAAAAGGAGGAGGAGGCACAGGAGGAACAGGAGGAGCATGTGGAGGAGGGCGAGGAGGAGGAGGAGGAGAAGGCGGAGAAAGGAGGATAGCTACCACCATCTAGAGCTTTCGCATAACAGCCTCGTTTCCGATAGTTCGGACGGGTGACCTCCCCGAAACATTGGCGGAGGCAGGCGGAGCATTGGCACAGGGTGGCGGAAGTGAGGGCGGCTCCGCTGGCAGAAGGCCAATCCCCTAAGAGAGGTCTGGGTCCGGCGCAAAATTTGCGTCCTCGGTGTTCCTGAGGCCTGTGACCTAAGGTCGAGTGGGGGACGAGGATCGCGATGGGAGAAATGGGTCCTGGAGGGAAGCGGGTCCTGAGGTTTGTCGCCGTTTTCGGGTTGTCTGGGCCCTCCACGGGCCCCGGGACTGCCAGAAAACAACTCAGGATGAATAGTTGGTCTTTGGGGAAGGCCCCGGGGTCGAGGACCCGTTTCCCTCAGGACGCTGTTTTTTCTTGCTAAATGAGGGAGTGAGACGACCATGAGGGATGTAGAGGAACGAGGGAGGGAGGGGAGGGAGAGAGGGATGGATGGAGCAAGGGAGGAGGAGGTGGAGGGAGGGACGGAAAGGAGGAAGTGGAGGATGAGGAGGAAGAGGCTTGGAATGTATACAGAAGAGGGATGGGTGGGAAAAGCAGAAGGAGACGGGGGAGGAGAGGAGGGAGGAGAGGAGGGAGGGGCGTCGGACATATTGGGCTGCACCCTGGCACCGCCCCACGTATGCAAATCCAATGACACCTGTCGGCACTCCAAGCAGGAGATGAAATATGATTATCCACGACCACCCATGCCTCCAACGTGTTAGAAAACAGCAGCGCTGTTTTTGTTGTTGCCATTATCCTCGACATCCGCTGGGCCCTTGCTGGACCCCAGGACAGTCAAACATTGCGACTCAGTGTGAAAAGTCTGCCATTGAGGATGCGTCGGGATTCCGGGGGACGCCGTGTTGACAAGGCCAAGGCGTCGGATGGCTGGGCCAGTCTGGGCCAGCACAACTTGACCGAAGGATCTGGCTGGTGGTGTAAGCTGCGCTCCTGCTGCGCCACATACCACCTGGAAGCGTGAGGAAGCTGGTTCGGGGGTGCTGGTTGTGGTGGTGGAGTGTTGTCTGGGCGTTTTTCGCAGAACAGCGTGCACATGTCCTTCCCTCCGCACGCATTCACGCACACAAGAAAGCATACGAGCACAAGCACAAGCACACGCACACGCACACGCACACGCGCACACGCACACACGCATACACACACTATCAGTCATTCACTTGCTTGGCGTCGCGGCCACACGCGCAGCTGCGCAGCGGAGTCGAGCTACGCAGACACGCCTGCCGCCGATTCGGTCTTCACACGTGCCTGTGGTCATCCTCCCTCCCTCCCTCCTCCGCCTGCATCCGCCTCCTCCCGCCTCGTCAACCTCTCTTCCCTCCTCGCCTCTGCCTCTCCCTATCCTCCCGCCTGTTTCCCTCCCCCCTTCTCCGTCATCTTCTCCCTTCGCGCCCCTCTCCTCCCTTCTCGCTCCCACCTCCGGCGCAGTGCGGAGGGAGCGCCAGGCTCTCTCTTCAGGAGGGGTGGCGTCTGTGGGCAGCCACTGGCAGCCCCAGGCGCCCGCGCCTTCCCTCCCCGATACCGGATGCCGCCCTAGTCCTGCCGGGGGCCCCGTCCGCCCTCGCTGCTGCTGCTGCTGCTGCTGCTCCTCCTTCTCCTCCTCCTCCTCCTCCTCCTCTTCCTCTTCCTCTTCCTCTTCCTCCTCCTCCTCCTCCTCCTCCTCCTCCTCCTCCTCTACTGCTGGCTGCTGCTGCTACTGCTGTTGGCTGCTGCTGGGAAGCCCGCCTTCGGGCGTGTGGCGCAATGGGGGGTGCCATTCATGGGGTGGTGAAGAAACATGTGCACCTTTTGGGCCGCAAAGGGGCCCCCCTGGGGCCCAAAGGGGCACGAAAGGTGCACGTTTCTCCCCTCCCCCTTGTTTACCCTCCCGTGGAGTAACGCCTGCGAGGTGGAGGGAGTGGACAGGTTGCCCGTCCAGCCAGCCCAGAGGCGGCGCCCCTCGCCTCCCGCCAGGCTGCCTTCGCAGGGGCCTGCCCCCCCCCCCCCCCCACCCCGAATGGCCAAAAGAGCCTCTTGCCCTCCTCCTTGTCCTCCTCCTCGTCCTCGACCTCGTCCTCCTCCTCCTCTTCCTCCTCCTCCTCCTCCTCCTCCTCCTACTCCTTCTCCTCCTCCTTCTCCTCCTCCTCCTCCCTCCTCATCCTCCCTCCTCCCTCCTCCCTCCTCCCGCTTGGCCAGAAAGCTTGCGCGGGCTCTTGCCATGGCCCCCGTGGCTGCTGCGCGTTGTCGGGTGCTCCACCTGACGGCACGTGCAGGAGCCTGTGTAGTTGGTCTGAGCTGAGCGGCCAGGCGGTAGGCGTGGGGCCGCGGGAGCCAGAGCCCGTTGCCATCCTGAACGTCACCACCCACCAAACCACCCCAACCCAACCCGAAGCCCTCAATTTGCATTCCATTTCCAGTGGGAGGGGGTCGGGGAACGTTGAAAAAAACATAGAATCCGTACCCCCCCAACCCGAAATTCGGGTCAGATTCGGGTCTTCGGGTTGGGTTGGGGTGGTCTGTTAGGTAGTCAGAACGAGTTGTCTTCGGGCCCCGGCTGGGACCGTGCAAAACGGATCCGGGGGGGGAAATTTGCATCAGATGTGCCCCAGGAGGGGTCCGTGTGGGGACCGATTTCGAACGGATTTGGCCCAATCCCCTTGCCGGCCGATGTTCTGGGGCCCCAACCAGTTCAGATCCCCCGGCGCCTCCGAGTCCCTCTGCTCTTCCTCAGCTTCCCACCTCCGACAGGCCTCTCTCTGTTCGTCGCGCGAGCGCTGCTCTCGCCTCCGCCCGTGTCTGCGGGCAGCTGCCTCCTCGGGATGCCTCAGCGAGCAGGCCCTCATGCGGGAGCAGGCTTGCTCGGCGGCAGTGGTGCAGGATACCGGCGTTGGGGACTGTTGAATTTGATTGGTGGGCCGACCTAACAAGCTTACACTGCTTTGACCCAGACCTTGAGAGAATGCGACAGAACTCGCTTTAGAGTGTACGATTATTAGGGTCGACGGCAGAGCACAAGCCACCGATTCCGGATCTAGAAGGGGTTACACCAAGCATTATCATAGCTACAGCAGCCTTGAATCGAAGCTGTCTAGGGAAGCAGGGCTATTCCTCCGTCGTGCCTTTCGCATCGCGTTGCAGGTATACCGCGCTTCTGGGGCACAGGACGCCTTCGCAAGAGATCCGTGTTTTCTCGGGCCTCTATCCCGGCCGCAGGGGCACCTCTATTTCCTGGCCGCGTTATGCGTGCGGGCTTCTCTGCGCTGGCAGAAGCTGGATGCTTGTTTCCACGCCGCCCTCAGATTGCACTGTGACAGACTCTGGGAATTCTTTCTGGCAGGCGCACGGCGTCGGTGCGTTCTTGTCCAGCCGCGCAGCCACCGTGCTTCGGCGGTTAAACTAAACCCCGTCTGGATGCACTTATCCCTGCGCCCTTCTCACGGTCAATGAGAAGTGGTGTAATGTTACCCTCGTGCTTGCGTGCAGCGGTATTCGAACCTAGATTTCCCCTTGCCTTCCCATTCCTCCTCGCTCCCCCATTCCTCCTCCGTCCTTCCCCCTCCGCCATTCCTCCCCCGTCCTTCCCCCATTCCTCCGTCCTTCCGCCTCCGCCCCCCCGCTCTTCCCCCTCTTCCGCCATGAACTGGCACGGGTCCAAAATGAACCAGGGTTCAGACTGTGAGGTTTCCTCCAGATCCCGCTCTTCATTCCGAACCGTTCCCCGACACCACTGGGGCCCGTGGAGGTTCCCTGGAGCCTGGAAACAAGGAACAGTTTCCATGATCCCCTTTCCTCCAGGTCCCCGTTTCCTTTTTTTTCCAGCCCCTGGCGAAACAGCAAAGATACCGATGCCGCTGCTCCCACAACCTCTCTAGGAGGGCCGCACGTTCTGACCAGGAGTTCGAGGCGAATCCAGCCGTGGCGACGGGGGAAGAAACGAATCTGGAGCCCAATGTCGACAGCCACTACGCTGGGATCAGCGCGCGCGGGCAGAGCGAGCACTGGCTGAACGAGATGTGGGGGTCGACCCTGGAGACCGACGTCATCAGCTAAAGCGGCGGCATCAGCGTGTGCTAGAATGGCGGTAGGCGGCCTGGCGCTGCTCAGCGAGATGCGGGGGGCGAACCTGGAGCACGACGTCGTCCCGTGCTGGGACCAGCGAGTGCGAGAAACACGGCATTGGCAGCAGGCGCAGTCCGATGCCGAGTCCGACATCTGTCATTTGCGGTGTTGCCGTGCGGCGAAGGTCGGGATTGGAACGAGCCTCGCGGTTGCGGCATCTGCTACTGCAGTGAGGCCAGCGCATGCGTTGAGGGCACGCGGTGGCAGAGCAGTGGCGGGGCAGTGGTGGTGCACCGATCCGCGCGGTGATTCCGGAGCCGACGGGTCGCGAGCGCCGCGGGCACCCGCACGCAGTGAGCACGCGCCCCGGCGTGCAGGGCTGCGGCACAACCCCGAATGAAACATAACGAGACGAGGAGGAGGAGGAGGAGGAGGAGGAGGAGGAGGAGGAGGAGGAGGAGGAGGAGGGGGAGCAGGAGGAGGAGGAGGAGGAGGAGGAGGAGACGGAGGAGGAGGAGGAGGAGGAGCGGCATGGCGAGGTCGGAGCGCCGCGGCGCGCGTGGCCCCCCGCCAGGTGGCGGCGGCGGTGGGGCACTTCGCCTCCGACTGCGCGGTGGCGGCGGGGATCGCGGTGGTCCTGTCGGCGGGATCGCTTCCGACGGCGGCCGCCGAGGCTTGCGGCGGGAGTCGGGCTCGAGGGTCGATGCTGAAGGCTCGAGGCTCGAGAGTCGCTGTCGTTCGGGAGCCACTCATGGCGGCCTTGTATGTCCCCGATGCTCCATCTGTACGTTAGCGTGCGCTAGCGTCTGGCAATCGATGAGGACGCGCAGAAAGTGCGTCGATTTAGCGTCGACTAGCGCCGTGCGGCACGGCCCGTGCCGCAGCGACTTGCGCCGATCCGCAAGACCCAGCAAGATGGTGCCGGAGGCTCCCATGAGCTGCCACAGAGGGATCGAGGATCGGGGATCGCGGCAATCCTGTCGGCGGGGTCGCCCCTTCCGCTGGTGGCCGCCGAGGCTCGCGGCGGGAGCCGGGATGGGTGGCATCCAGACGGTGCGGTGACCACGCCGTCGGGACTCGGGTTGGCCGGCGCACGCTTTCGGGGCGCGGGCAGTTCGCCGACGGGGATGCTGCGGGCGGCCCTGGCCCTCCAGGGTCCCAAAGTCGTGCGGTGGCTGGTCGTGCGGCGAGGTCCTCTGGGCTCTCGAGGCCCCCGCACGTGCTGCCAGCGCGCCGCTTGAGGCCCCCAGCGCGGGAGCGGCCTCGAGGATCGAGGCTCGAGGTGCTGTGGGTGCTCCTCGCCCTCTGCCGTGCCTTCCGGGAGGCCGTTCGCCGCCGTGGCCCCTCCCGCCGAAGTTCTGGTCAGAAGGGCCCGCTGGATAGGTCCTGGTGCTGACCGGGTCAACGAGTACGGTCAGGAGGGTCTGCTTCGCGTGCCGCGCCGCTGGTTCTGGCCCACCCACCGCCGCTGCTTCGCGAGTCGCCGCCGCCGGCTGGGGCTGGGTGGGGTTTGGGATGGGTTCGCTCGAATATTCTCGGCAGGCTTGGGTTGACTCATGGGGGCTACAGATGCATGGGCGACATGTGCCATGGCAGAGCGCCATAGAGCGCCTCCAAGCAGCCGCTCCGCGGGAAGAGGGACCGGTGGACGGTGATTCGGCAGGGGTCGACCTGGACGGTGTTTTGGCGATTTCGTGGGCCGTTTTTTGTTTCGATCTCGTTGTGCAGCAAAGGCGGATCGAAGGCACATCGAGGGAGGACAATATCAAAACGATCACGAACAGCCTTGTTTGGGCCAGCCCCTGCGATTCGGAATCGGATCTCAGAGAGCAGCTGTAAGATTCCTGCTTCGGCTTGAGCTCGATGCGTTCCAGGGCTGCGCGGGCTGCGCGGCTTCGACTCGCAGCCCGACGCGCAGCCCGTTGCCGCGCCGAGCAGCGGAGGGGGGGGAGGGCAGATGCAGCTGGGGGTCCGAGGTGGCCCAGCAGTGATTCCAGCCAGCAGAGGGGGGGGGGGGGGGGGGGCAAGGCTCGAGGTGCTGGCCCCGAGAGTGTTTTTTTTTTGTCCTTTTCGGTCTCCAGGGCGTCGTTTCTGTCCCCCGGGACCATCAAAAACTCAAAAACAGATCCGGGGTGGAGATTACTTGGCATCGCTCGGACGTGTGGGTTTTTCCTTCGGCGAGGACCATCGAGGAGCATCCTTGATGAGTTGGAGAAAAAACCACGCACGAAACCGCAAAAGCACAGGGAATGGACGTCCGAGCGATGGCCAGATTAGGGACCCAGGGAACGATTCCTTCTTGGCAGGAGTTTCTCTCGGGGCCCACCCAGTTCGGACCCCAAGGGCCGCCTCCAAAGCAGAAAGCTTGTGGCACATGGGCCCGGGTGGCAGCGAGATCCCTACAAAGGCCGGCGAAAGAGTCCTCCAGTGGGCTCTGGAGGTCCTGCCAGAGAGGGAGAGTTGCGTCAGCATTCCGAATGCATTGAGCGCTTTTTGTCCACCCTTGCAAGAGCGCTCTTCAGCCACGTGTCTGAATGCGCATATCTCTTTTCCTGGGGTTACTGGGAGTCCCTTCTGTGGAATTCCCTCGAGAGTCCTTTGAGACGTATTTGGTATTCCTTTCTGGGATTTCTCTAGTATGTGTTTGGTGCTCCTTAGAGGTTCGTTTGAGGCTCCCCTGGGGGTTCTTCGAGATTCCTTTGACATTCCCCTTGGAGTCATTTGGATTCCTTTCAGCTTCCCCTGGGGTGTCTTTGATATTCGTATCTTGCTCCTTTGAACCCTCTGGGCTCCTGCGAATTGATATGCGATTTCGATTTCTGCGCCACACTCGTGATGCGATCCGTTCTCCGTTTTTCTCTCCGCTGTGGTGCGTCTCGTTTTCTGCTTCGTAGGCGAGTCTCTGAGTGCATGCCGTCACCATTGAACTTCTTCCTTTTGAGCCGACAAGTTTCCTTGTGTCTCCTTGGAGCCCTTTGGATGTTCACAGGTTTCCGACAATTCCCAAATGATTCCTTGTTTGTTTCTCACGGCCTTTCTATGTTTCATGCTTGGGCAGGTCCCAGGCGAGCGGCGCAAACGCCTGAGTTTGTTCAACCATGTGTTCTGTTGATTCATGTGTTATCGATTTCGCATGAAGGGCGTTGCAGATGGCTTTTATCGGAGTGAGGGTGCCGAACGGTCGTTCACTGTCCCTGGGTGCGTGGCTGAGTAGGGAACTAGTGTTGAGAACTCTGCTTGTTGCAATGTTGTTGCCGTTGTTGTTGCTTGTGTTGCCGTTGTTGTTGTTGTTGTTGTTGTTGTTGTTGTTGTTGTTGTTGTTGTTAAACACTATTACTTCTAAAGAATTATTATTGTTGGACCCCCTGGTGCACGCCCCCCGCCCAAAACCTAGGCCGCAGCTACATTTTCATCATTTTTCTGCGAAAGCTTCAGAAAAGTGGATTACCCCCGGATCCGGTTTTTTGTTGACGCTCGTTTTCCCTTGCAAAAAACAATAGAAAATGAAAATTCTTGTTCTTAGTTGATCAAATTTCAAGAATCCCTTGCAAAAAATAAGGTAAAGTGGACATTCGCGCTCGCAAGACGAAATCCTTCCAAAACCTTAGGTTTCGTAGCGATTTTAACATAAAAACATCAAAAACCCAATGGTTTTTTAAGAAAAAATTGTCAAAATGTCCTTCCGCGCGCTCTTGCGGATTCATAGGAAACACACCACTTTTTAAACATTTCTGTCAAAAGGGTCTTTGCGTGCTACTTCTTCAGGTGCTTTGAACTTCTCCAACAACGGTTGCGCGCCTGCGAGGGCCACCATCCCTTGCAAAAAATGAGACGAAGTGCACATGCGCGCGGCCGCCGCGCGCGCATGTCGAAATCCTGCCAAACACAATGGGTTTTCAATAATTTCAAGATGCGATGTTCAGAAAACATATGAAAACGCACTACTTTCTCATCCGAAAAATCTCGAAATCCATTCGCGGTCTCTTGATGAATCTTTAAAACCCAAGATGGCCCCAACAGGCGCGCAAGATGGCCCCAAGAGGCGTCCATGAGGCCCAAAGAGGCGCCCAAGATGGTCCCAAGAGGCTTCAAGAGGACTCCAAGAGGCCCCCAAGAGGTTCCAGAGAGGCTCCAAGGTGGCTCCAAGAGACCCCCAAGATGGCCCCAGGAGGCGTTCTAGAGGCCCCAAGAGTCCGCCGTGAGGGTCCAATAAGCCCCCAAGAGGCCCCAAGATGGTTCCAAGGAGCCCCCCAAAGGCTCTCAAGTGGACCCCAAACCGCGCCAGGAGGCTTCCCCCCTTCCCCAAGAGGACCCCAAGCGGCCCCAGGAAGGCCCCCGACTGCTGACGCACATATCCGTAGCCATCTCGGATCAAGGTATCGCCTGTGTTCTTGGATCATGGCTTTGACGGCGAAAGACCTTCACGAGCAGTATGGCCCTGAGCTGTCGCGGCCTCCCTTGGCCGACTGCGAGAGTGCGTATTATTTGCATCAGGCGCTCCGGGCAAAGGGTATCAATGCTAGTCACCAGGCGTGCAAGACTTGGTGGGCCAAGTATCGGGTTGTGACTGGCACGGTCAGTATTTCTAGCGCCAAGGAGCTGGAGGAGCAGCACGGCTCTGCCATCCGCCACCTGGGCATTGAGTATAATACCGCTTTCAAATTATGCCGGGCGCTCCGACAGTTGGATCCACCACTGTATGTGCCAGATAGGGTCGCAACGGCGTGGCTACTGCAGTATTCATCCAAAGACACGCTTGTCCAAGTGCAGAACGCTGGCCACTTGGAGACCTGGTATGGAGAACGTATTCGCAAAGACATGCCCGAGGGGACCACTGACGGGGCCGTCTTGAAGCAGTGGCTCCTGGGACATTTATCTGTATCTGCTAACGCCAGGGTATGCCAGAAGTGGCTCACCGCCAGGGTACGCCAGAGCGGTAGCACTGCCGTATGCAAGCACCGGCCTTCCCGCCAGCAGGCGTATCGGCAATCTCATTGGGCATCTGGGACCGCACGGGTATCAGCCAGGCCCGCACGTGTATCAGCCAGGCAGCCGGGCACCCACGCGCCCGCTCCGCGCCATCGCAGACGACGATGCGTCGCGCCTTTAGTATGCTTCTGGATGCGAAGACCATTCGGTTGAGTATACCCCTACGTGTGACTGGACCTGTTTGCGAAAGCAGGAGAAAGTATGGCACCCCTTTGTGTCCAGAGCCGCGCCGTCTGCGTTCTTCCTTTCTCGCTTCTCTCCTTTCCTCCTTGTCCTGCTCCTCCTCCCCCTCTTCCGCCTTGGAGCCGTATTGGAACTGTCGATGGCCATCTCCCTTTCTCCCTCGCATGTCTGCTTGTACATACGTATAATTTCAGAACTTACCGTGCATGCGATCGTTTACAACATGGTGGACCGTGCGTATGTCACGAACCTTGTATACATGTGTTTCTCTCCCTCCGTCTGGCTGTGCACGCGCGCGTTGGGCACTGAGAGTTAGGATCATAGCGCCATGAGTCTATGAGCAATGCATGCGTCATCCTTGGGACTGTATAACATCAGTGTAACACATGTACTTCTGTAATCGCATCCCCACGAATTTGCCCCAAAAATGTGACCAACTATCTTGGCACTGCGTACCATCTCACGTGTACCGTGTACCACATCATATGTAACAGATGTGATCAACCTCTGTGGGTGTGTACCCCACGCCAGTGTAGTAGCCAGGGTCGTCCGCACGCCACGAAGTGAAGTGTCCCAACGTCATAGGGCGGGAAGCTGGGTGTGGGTGGTCTCGAAGAGTCGTTTGGATATTTGGTAGAGCTTGAACGGCCCCCCCACGAAGTGGGGGTATTGGCTGGTGTCGCAAGAAAACCCTGGCACTGGGGAGAACACTGAGCGTTCGGGTAAAATGATTGTTGTTGTTGTTGTTGTTGTTATGATTGGTATTGTTGTTTTGTTGTTGTTGTTGTTGCTGCTGTTGTTGTTGCTGTTGTTGTTGCTGTTGTTATGGTTGTTGTTGTTGTTGACGAAACCACTCACTGGCGCCGGCCCCACCCCCCCGCGCAACGCAACGCAACGCAACGCAACGCACGTTACCCCGAATCCTATAGGATGCCCATGGGAATTCTATATGGTCTCTGCGAACCTCATAAGATTCCGAAAGACATCCCACATGAATCCTATAGGGCCTTTTACGAATCCAATGGGAATTCCATGGGAATCTTCTTGGAATCGTATGGGGCCTTTTACGAGTCCTATGGGAATTCCATAGATATCCAATGGGAATCCTATAAGTCCTTTACGAATCCGATTGGAATCCGATAGGAAGCTTGTAGGAAACCTACAGGGCCTTTAGGATTCCTATTGGAATCCCATAGGAATCCCATGGGAATCCTATAGGGCTTTTCGGATTCCTATGGGAATACCATAGGAAACCTTCGGGAATCCTATAGGGCCTCTACGAAGCCTGTCGGAGTCCTATAGGGCCTTTACGAATCCTATAGGGATCCTATCGGATTCATATGGGAATCCTAGAGGGCCTCTTACGGATCCTATAGGAATGCAGTTGGATTCCTATAGGAATCCTATAGGGACTGATTCCCATGGGAATCCCATAGGAATCCAATGGGTATCCTGTAGGGCCTTTACGAATCCGATAGGAAGCCGATAGGAAGCCTATAGGAAACCTGTAGGGCTTCTCCGATTCCTAGCGGAATCCCAGAGGAATCCTATAGGGTTTCTGCGAAAACTATAGGAGTCCGATCGGAATACCATAATCATCCTATAGGGCCTTTACGAATCCTATAGGAACCATATAGCAAACCTATAAGAATCCTATAGGGCCTCTGCGAATCGTATAGGATTCTTATAGGAGTCTCATAGGATTCCTATAGGGCTTTCTACGAATCCTATAGGACTCCTATAGGAATCTGATAGGAATCCCGGAGGGCCTTTACATATCCTATGGGACTCCCCTTCGAAATCCGATAGGGCCTCCACGAATCCTATAAGAATCCTATATGATTTGTATAAGTATCCGATAGGGCCTCCACGAATCCTCCAGGAATCCCATCGGAATCTTATAGAAATCCTAGAGAGCCTCTACGAATCCTATAGGAGTCCTATGGTAATCCTATGGGATTCCTAAAAGGCCTTTTCGAATCTTATAGGAACCCTATAGGAGTCCTATAGGAATTATATGGCTTGCTCGAATCCCATAGGAATCCTGCGGGAAGCCTAGGGCTTTTACGAATCCTATGGGAGTCATTATTTGGAATATTATGAGGAATCCCATAGGGCCTCTGGCCTCACAGGGAGCTCCTCCGAAGCTTCATTTCGGCACACCCCTCTCGAGGATCGTGGCCCTGGCCTCAGAGGGAGCTCCTCCGAAGCTTCATTTCGGCACACCCTTCTCGAGGATCGTGGCCCTCCCCTCACAGAGGGTTTCTCCGAAGCTTCATGTCGGCACACCCCTCAAGCATGATCGTTGCCCTGGCCCCAGAGGGAGCTCCACCGAAGCCTCATTTCGGCACACCCCTCTCGAGGACCGTGGCACAGACCCCACAGGGAGCTCCACCGAAGCATCATTTAAGCACACCCCTCTCGAGGACCGTGGCACAGACCCCACGGGGAGGCCCACCGAAGCTTCATTTCGGCACACTCCTCTCGAGGATCGTGGCCCTGGCCCCACAGGGAGCTCTTTTCGTTCCCGTGCCGGCCCAGCCTCTAACACGCCTCTGCCGTGCAGGAGGCACGGCGGCGGATTTGACTCCCGTGGCTCTGGTGGCCTTGTGGCTGACGTGGGCACGCTCCTCTCCCTCTCTTCATGCGTGATTCAAGCCATTTGGGCATGCGCCTCCCCCCTCTGGGGCAGGCCACTGAGGGACGCCGGGCAACACGCCGGGACCCATGGGAATTCTATAGCATCCCTTAGGGATTCTATCGCATCCCTTAGGGATTCGATCGCATCCCTTGGGGATGCTATAGCATCCCTTCGGGATCCAGTGGCAGCCCTTATGGATTATATAGCATCCCTCAGGGATTCTATAGCATCCATCAGGGATTCTATAGCATCCCTCAGGGATTCTATAGCATCCTTCAGGGATTCTGTAGCATCCCTCAGGGATTCTATAGCATCCCTTAGGGATTCAATGGCATCCCTTCAAGGATTATATAGCATCCCCTTAGGGATTCTATAGCATCCCCTTAGGGATTATATCGCATGCGTTTCTAAGGATTATATAGCATCCTTCAGGAATTTATGGCATCCCTTAGGGATTCTATCTCATCGCTTAGGGATTCTGTAGCAGCCCTTAGGGATTCTACAGCATCCTGTAGGGATTCTATAGCATCCTTTAGGGATTATATAGCATCCCTTAGGGGTTCTTTAGCATCATTTAGGCCCATAGCATCCCTTAAGGATTCTAGAGCATGCCCGAAGGTTTCGGCTCGGGGGAGCGCGCATACTTTCAGCTCGTGGGGATGCGTCGGCTTTATTAAGGATTTCGAAGGATTCCTGGGGATGTTCCAACGGTTTCCGTTGGTTTCTGTTGCCAGCCATCTGTTGCGTTGCGTTGCGTTGCGTTGCGTTGCCGGGGGGGTCCGGGTCCACCAGTGAAATGTTTCGCCACAAGGAGCGAAACAGCGAGCTGGTGGACCCTCACGGGGTCCACCAGCCGGTTGTTTTGCCTTGTTCTTGTTGTCGTTTGTTATCGTCGTCCCACCCGCGACCCACCCGCGACCCACCCCGCGACCCACCTCGCGACCCACCCCGCGACCCACCCCGCGACCCACCCGCGACCCACCCCGCGACCTACCCGCGACCCACCCCGCGACCCGCCCGCGACCCACCCGCCCCATCCGCGACCCACCCGCGACCCACCCCACGACCTACCCGCGACCCACCCCGCGACCCACCCTCAAGGGAGGAAAACCACCCCGACCCGACAACTGACGTTTACTAAACGGCCTCGGGTGTTTACGAAACAGCCCTGCCCTGTTCGAGGCATTCCTTGTGTGCGTTTACTAAACGACTTCGCTTGTCGGGGTGATGATTACGGGGTGAATTTTCTGCCCTCTACACCCGCGACCCACCCGTGACCCACCAGCGACCCACCCGCGACCCACCCGCGACCCATTTGCGACCCATTTGCGACCCACCCGCGACCTACCCACATTGGTTTGACGAAAAAATCGGCGCCTGCGGCGGGCTCGTTATAGAGTTTTTGGCGCCTGCGGCGGGCTTCTCCAGTGTCTCGCAATCTGCCGACGTCCCCACCGCCCCCTCACTCGTATCCGCATCTGCGGGGTGCTGCGTAAGGTATCGTCGCGCTGGCGGTGTTTCGGAGCGCGGGGGGGGGGGGGTACTGTTTGTTCCTCGGACCATCTGCCCGATCCGTGCCCCACAGAGGTGGATGCAGCTGAGCGGGGCACCGATCAGTTCGAGAGCACACTGATGGGGGACCTCTACGGCTTTGCGCCTCCGCCCTCGCTGGTGAAGTGCGTGGGCGCCACCCTGGCCGGCTCGATGTTCGCGGTCCTGGGCATGATCGCCGAGGGCCGCCGCGAGCGGAGGCGCAAGGACCGCGATCAGTGTTTTGCTGTGTGTATATCTGTATTTACTGCATTTACAGTCAACGCGCATAGTAAGGACAAACGACTTTTTCAAGGGTACCCTTGGGTCCTTGCCTGCCTCAGCCTCTGCGGCCCGTCCCTAGCAATTTGCGCAGGCCAACTTCTCAGGTTCCCTGGGGGTTTGTCCGCCTGCTGCCCAGAATACTTCAACTTCGGCCTCCAAGGGTCTTGCGTCCTTGCCACGCTTCCTTCCTATACGTTTTCACTGTACAGGTACACACATCTAGTCTTTCGGCCCATCCTGCCGCCGCGCCTGGGTTGTCGATCAGAGGCCTCCTGGAAGCCTTTCCGAGGCATGTTTGTCGTGTCCTGGGGCCTTTGGGGGGCCTCTTGGGGCCTCCTCTGGGCCTCTCTGGAGCCTCATAGGGCTTCCTGGGGTTCTCTAGCAGACCTGCTGGCGGTCTCGAGGGTCACCTCTGGGAGGAGGGCTCGGAATGTCACTTCGTGCTCCCCCTCGTGGGCCCCCTCTTGAAGCCCTCGTGGGCCGCCTTGGGGCCCTCTTTGGCCGCATTGGGGCCCTCTTGGGACCCCGTTGTGCCGCCACCCTAGTAACCCTCCTCGCTTCTCCTACCCCTTCGTCCCCAGCCCCCCAACCTCCGCGGATTCATCGAAATGTTAGCGGGTTCGTGATGTCACGGAACACAATTAGTTGTTCTCGGAGGCAATTGGCACAGTATTTCGTTCCGGCGCACCTTTGTTGGACAGGCCTTTTGTGAAGGCAAGCGCGGCATAGTTCCAGAAGGGTCAGGGCTGATTTGATGTGTGAATGGCTCATCGTCGGCCTCCTTTAGTGTCCTGGCAACCTCTTCGGCCGCTTTTGGTCCCTCTTAGGGGCATCTTTGGGCGATGGGTCTTGGAGCGTCGGAAGCCCGAAAAGGCGAGAACGCCAACACCGTGCGAAAACAGCATGATAATCATTAAGGTGGGGGGCCTTTGGAAGGGTCTTCTTGGATCACTCTTGGGGCGGCTCGGTTTGGAGGCCATCTTGGGCGAAGCCGTCTGTAGGACCCTTGTGGACCGTATTGTTGATCTCTGAGGACGCTCTCGGGCAGTCGTTGCGCCCTGTGGCTGTTGCAAACGCCATACGACCGTGCCTCGAGAGCGTCCGAAAGTGCCCAAGAGCATTCGGGGGCTGCGGGCTCCTTGAAGAACATGTCCAATACCAGTGTGGAGGGCTCCAAGGGACTCGAGGGCACTCCACCATATGATATGCCCCGAGGCACGGTGGCCGATGTGTCTATGTACTTGTTGAGTCGCGTCGCTCATTCCACCGGCCCCTGTAGCCTCATCTCGGCCGTTTGCCCGAGGGCTCGTTGTCAATGCGGCGCTGCTGGGGTCTCTTGGCATGCGTTTCGGGAGCCTCTTAGAGGTAGTTTTGAAGCCTCTTAAGGTCTCTTGAGGGCCGTTCGGGGGCCCTGGGGGCCTCTTTCTGGGCATCTAGGGGGTTTCGTGGAGTTTCTTGGGGGCTTGCTGGTGGTTTCGGAGGCGCTCCTTGGGGCGGAAAGCTCGAAATGCCTTCGTGGGATTGTGCTAGTCGTGAATGCTCATTGTGGGCTTGTCGATGGGGGGAGGGGACATCTGATGCGATGATGAAACCCTCGTGTCCGACGGTGGCGGGCTTTGAATGCGATCATTGTTTTTTGTTTGTCCAGATGTGCGCTGTCTACTTTCTGAGGCTCGTCTATTTCTTACTTTCTCCCTCTTCGCGCAGTGTGTTCCCAGGCGTGTGTGTGCGGGGGTAGGCGAATGGATGGAGAGCGTGAGTGGGAGAGATAGACTGCAGGAGGAGGTGAAGGTGGAGAAGGCGTAGTGTGGAGTGAGGTGGAGCGTAGAGGAGGAGGTGGCGGAGGAGGTGACGGGGGAGGGTGGGGAAAGGAAATAGCATAACAGTGGAGGCCACAGAGGGTCAATTGAGAGCCTCTAGAGGCCTCTTGGAGGCCTCTGGGGACTTCCTAGGGGCATCTTATGACCGAGGGCACGAAAGGCTGTTTCGTGTTTCCCCTCTGGGGCTTCTCTTGGGACGGCCTTGGGGCCTTCTTGGGTAGTTTTTGAGTCATTTTGGGCGGTCCTAGAGGTCTCTTGGGCCGTCTTGGGACTGTCTTGGGGTGCTCTTGGGCCCTCTTGGGGCGATCTTGGGAGCCTCCTGGGCCATCTCAGAGCGTCTGGAAGCAGGAAAAGGAGAAACCCCAAAATGTGGCCAAAACCTAAAGAAATTCAATGAATTGTGCCTCTTGGGGCCATCTTGGGAGTGCTTTTGAAGTCCATTTGGGGTGTCTGGAGGCCATGGTGGGCGTCTTGGAGCGGTCTTGTGGCATCTCGGAGCCCTCAAGTCCTATCTTGGGGGCGTCTTAGGGGGCTTCTTGGCTCCTCTTGGGGCTCTCTGGAGGGCGTCGAGGGCAGCGGCCAGGAGAAAAGCAATCTCTGGCAAGGGATCGGCCGGGGTACTTTGCGTCCGGGGACCCCCAGGGGCCGCCCGGCGCGCGCGAAGTAAACAAACTGTACAGCAGTCACTGGAAGTCTTAGCACGCCTCTGGCCCGTTAGGCCGGCGAACCTACACATAAATGTCATCTTGTATTTGCCAGTGTTGACCCCACATATCAGGCTAGTACATTGTGGTTGTGTACGCTATGCGGTGCAAGCTGTGTGTTGCAAGCAACGTGGTGCAGCATATGTGAGCAGAGTCATCTGGTGCAAGCTGTGTGATGTAAGCTATGCGATGCTACGTGGGACAATATATGTGGTGCGAACTTTGTGGTGCAAGCTACGTGGCCAGCCCAGCGCACGACGCACCCACCGACGGGCACCAGGCAAACTCAATCCGCACCCGTCTCAGTACTTCCTCAGGTTTGGTTGGAAGCCCGAGTGCAAGCACTTTTTGGGCAGCATGTACACCATGTTAGTCCACCGCAGTTGCGGATAAGATTGAATCGGCCCGGGGGTGTCGCGGCGTGGGCGAATCACTCCCACCGCCGTCCCGACCGCGCCGCGACCCACCCGTGACCCACTTGCCCTGTCCGCGATCAACCCGTGCCGACGGCGACTAGAACAATCAGAACAAAAATGCGTACGCTACCGTTGGATCCAACACTCGAAGTGTACTTTTCGTGTAGTGATACAACTTTCACGCTGCGAATGGGAATTTGGGAACTACCCACCTTTTTGCGCACCCATTCCGGTGTCGAGAACCTGCCACGCCTGCGGTGTTTTACCGTTTCGCGCGAGCTTGGAGAGTATAGAGACCGCGCTCAGGGACCCGTGGAGGGGACATGTGGGACTATTTGTTTTTCTTTGTTTGTTCCTCTCTCTCGTTCTCCCTTTCTTCCTCTCCCTCTCTCTCTCTCTCTTTTCTTCTCTCTCTCTCTCTCTTTTCTTTTAGATGGGCCTATCTCAAGTCGAATCCCACGAAGTGTGGGTCCACCTCTAACGGTTCCCCAATAAGAGTTGAGCCATCCGTGCTGAAAATTCGTAAAGGATGGATCACTTCTAGGAGTATCCTATCAGAGGTGGATCCACCTCTACTGGGAACTAGTTGGGATGGAGCCACTTGTAATATGATCCGATGCTGGGTTCGTCCACCTTTAAACAATTCAATAGGAGTGGAGCCACCTCTAATATAACCCCTAGCAGGGATGGAGTTACCTCTCATAAGACATTGTGAGATTTGGATCCCGCTCAAATGGGATCCTCATAAAGGGATGGGCCCACCTCTACTTGAATTCTATCAGGAATTAGCCCACTTCGAGTAGTATTTCATTAAGCGCGGATTCGGTACACCTCTGATAGAGTCCCTTGGAGACGTGGAGCGACCTCCAACATAATCTGATCAAGGATGGGGCCACCTGGGGGATGGGTCCACTTCTGATTGACTCGTCTTGGGGATCGGGAAACCTGTAATCATATCCTATTAAGGATGGAACCGCTTGTAATACAATCCCATAGTGATGCTGCACTTTTTAAAACAATCCGATTGGACAACCTCTAACAGCGTCCTTACAGGGGTGGTTTCATTTTTCAATACAGTCTTATTGGGTATGGCGCCACCTCGAAACAAAACCCGATCAGGGGTATTGCCACTTGTACCATAGTCCTCCTTAGAACGGCTTCGCCTCTGACAGAGTCCTAGCAGGGTAGAAGCCACCTGCAATGTAATCAGATTAGGGATGGGGACGCTTCTGAGATAATCCGATTCGGGAAGACCAATAACCTCTTACACAGTCCTACTAGAGGTGGGTCCACCTCTAACATAATCGAATTAATGATGACGCAATCTTTAAGGAACAGACGATCAATGAAGGACTCACAGGTACTAGGCTCCGTTTAGCGGTGGGCCAACCTCTAACATAATCCTGTGGTAAATGGGGCCACGTGTACAAACACACATCCAGTAAAGGTGGGCCCACCTCGTCGAGAACCTCAGTAGAAGTGTTCCCTCTTCCACCAGGAACCGATGAAAGAACACCGGTTCCAATATAATGGATCCACCTCCGTTTGGATCCCACTTGTAATGGAATCACTTCTTCCTCCTCCTCCTCCACAATTACTCAATATGAATACTACTCTCTTCCTGATGGTTTGAAAGTGGCCGACCCCCCCCCGCGTATTGTTTGTTCAAACACAGGTTTCCCCGGAGTTGGGTTTTCGCTTGCATTTTTTGTTTTATCAAAATGCTGCTCTCGCTGAGGCGCCGGCCTCATTTTCGGGCCCCGCTCGTTCCGAATCGTTTTCCCGCTGCAGCGCTGGCCTCATTTCTGTGCGCCCGCTCGTTCCGAATCGTGCTCCCGTTGCAGCGCTGGCCTCATTTCCGTGCTTCCGCTCGTTTCGACTCGTGCTCCCGCTGCAGCGCTGGCGTCATTTCCCGTGCCATGCCACGGCATGCAATGCAATGGTAGGTTGATGCTACGCCTTGCGGTGCTCTTCTACGCCGTGCCATGCCGTGCTCTACAATGCATCGTGTACCCTTTCGGGATCATTGCCCTGCTCGACATCCGACTGAGCGGGTACAGAGGGGATCTGCGCCATGGTAAGTGATGGGAGGGAGGGGTAGGATGTCAGACATGACACGAGCGCACCTAGCTTGATATGAATACTACTCTCCTCCTTCCCCTGATGACGGGTTGGGAGTGTTTGCCCCTTGATTCTTTACACAGGTTTCCCCGGAGTTGGGTTTTCGCCTGCATTTTTTTTCAAAATGCTGCTCTCGCTGAGGCGCCGGCCTCATTTTCGGGCCCCGCTCGTTCCGAATCGTGCTCCGGCTGCAGCGCTGGCCTCATTTCCGTGCTTCCGATCGTTCCGAATCGTGCTCCCGCTGCAGCGGTGGCCTCATTTCCGCGTTTCCGCTCGTTCCGAATCGTGCTCCCGCTGCAGCGTTGGCGTCATTTCCCGTGCCATGCCACGGCATGCAATGCAATGCTAGGTTGCGTTCCGCTGCGCGATGCCATGCCTTCAGCTGAAGCTGTGATATGCAGTGCTTAAGTGCCACGTCGTGCTATGCCATGCTACGCTTTGATCTTCAACGCCATGCTATGCAATGTTTTGTTCGGGGCCGCTGTGCGATGCCATACTTTGCGTTGCAAGGCTTTGTGATGCAATTCTTCACTACGCCACGCCACGCCATGTTGTGACATACTACGCTTTGCGGTGTTTTTCTACGCTACGCCATGCAATGCCGTGCTCTACAATGCATCGCGTACCCTTTCGGGATCATTGCCCTGCTCGACATCCGACTGCGAGTAGAGAGGGGATCTACGCCATGGTAAGGGACCAAGGGATGGGAGGGAGGGGTAGGATGTCAGATATGACGCGAGCGCACCTTGCTTGCCCCCCTCCCCCTCCCCCTCCCCCTCGCGACAGCACGCCTGTGGTCTTCTGGGGTGGGGAACCCGCAACCTCAAGACGCAGCGGGCAGGCAGACGACCCTTGCCCGCAACCCCAGCCCTCAACGGGCGGCGCACCGCCTCCGCTCCGACGTTGTCCAGGGCGGCCCTGCCCGGCGGCTTCTATAAAAGCGACAGCGGCGCCCAGGAGGAGGGCGGCCGCAAGCCGGCCGCCACCGCCGCCAAGCGGCCGCAAGCCGGCCCAGCGGCTGCCGCCGGTGCCCCGGAGGAGGTCGCTTCGAGCCCGGAGAGTCAGAAGCCGGCCCGGAGGCCGGCCCAGGCCGAGGATCGACGGCCTCTTGGCTGCTGCTGCTGCTGCTGCTGCTGCTGCTGCTGCTGCTGCTGCTGCTGCGCCTCCTCAGCGGCAGGAGGGTGCTTGTCCCCCGCCCCCCTCTGTAGGACCCCCCCCCGCTTTCTGCTCCTTGCCCTCCCCCTCGCTCTGCTTCCGGCCCATGCCCCCCCTTTTTTTCTGCTCCTTGCTCTCCTCTTCTCCTCCGATCCTCCTCGTCCCCCTCCTCATCCTCGTCCTGGCTTCCTCCTATTCTTCCCTTCCTCCTTCCCGCCCTCTTTGAGAAGGAAACGAGTGAGGAGGGAGGAGGAAAGGTGACCGGACCAGAACGGAACGGAATGGAACGGAAATGTTGGGGACGATCTCAAGCTCCAAAGCATGGGCTTCCTGCACAGCTGCGCAGATCAAAAACTTCATCCTTGTGACGGCATTGAGCCGTGGAAACGTCCAAGCATGTGAGAGCGGAGCCCCTGCAGGGGGGAGGACCAAGGAGCGTCTGCTGGCGCCAGCACAAAGCTAACGAACTACCGCTCGAAGTAGTCTTGCTTGCATTTGCTTGCCTCGTGGCGAGGACAAGACGACAGAGGAGGAAAGAGGAGGAGGAGGAGGAGGAGGAGAATAAGAGGGCCTCCCATCTTCCTCCTTCCTCCTTCCTCACTCTTATCCTTCTTCTCCTCTCCCTTCATCCCTCCACGTCTACGTCGTCGTCTTCGTCTTCATTATTCGTCCCGCCCCTTTCTCTGCGACCTCCTCTACAGTCTCATCATCCTCATTATACCCCTGCTCCTCTCGTCGTCCTCCTACGTATCCTCCTGCTCCTCCTGTTCCTCACTGTCCGTAGCCATTTTGGCTCAAGTCCGTAGTGTTTCACTCAAGGACTGAGTATTTTGGCGTGGGGGAGCAGCGGCCCCCGAAGGCTTTCGTACCTCCTCTCTGCCTGCCCTGGCTGGAGGTACCTCTTTCACGTGCTACATCGGGACCGTAAGCTCCCTTCAGCAGTCACCAGTTACATCACTTTGCAGCCGCGGATGTCTCAGGGTGATGGACGGGCACAGAAGACGAGCAGGCACGCCCAGAGATGTCGTGCGGAGGCGACGGATTGGGTATGCCGCTGGTGCGTCCACCCTGTGTCAGGCGCGGCTTGGTGGAACAGATCGGACAAAGTGTCATGTCAGAAGTGTGGTGTCGCCAAGGCCTCTTCCTTCCTGGAGCCTCGGTTCAAGCACACGGCGCCTTCACAGAAGCAGCAGCGTGCCGACCGTGTGGCCTCTGCCGAGCCGCCGCCGCCATGGCATGCACGCAAGCTCGCGGAGCTGGAGAAGCAGCTGGCGGCGGCGCGGCAGCAGCTGGCCACCGGTGGGAAGACAGAGAGCAACGCAATGGAGGTCGACGTGGAGAGTGGTGAGCTGCCGCCGCAGACTCCCGCTCAGATCCGAGTTCGCCTGGACGAGATCGATGAGGCCATGCGGGCTATCAAGGATCTCAAGGACCCCTGCTTCGAGAAGGCCAGAGAGGACTATGAGGCGGAACGTAAGCGGCTGCGGGTGGACTTGGAGGCGTCCAAGCCAGTGCCTGCGCAGCTGCGATCTTTGTCATTCCAGTCGGCGAAGTGGAACTCCAAGAAGGTCAAACACGAGGGCCGGTTGGCAGCCGCCAAGCAGGAGTTGCAGAAGCTGCAGGAGACCATCCGCGAGCAGGAGCAGTTGGTGGTCGAGGCCGAGCAGGCCATCTTGCAGATTGCAGGGGAGCAAACCAGGCTGGCGTCTACGGTGCCGAGGCCTCCACCGTCCGCCACCGAAGCGGGCGAGCTTGTGGCCGCCCTTGGCATCACGGTCGACAAGCTGGGAGGCATCTTGGCAGGACTCGGAGACGACGGTCAATTGCAAGCGAAGTTGGACTCGGCCTTGGAAGAGGTGCGGGTACTTGAGGAACGTAAGCGACAGGGGCGGACGGTACCCGAGGCAGCACAGCATGAGAAGACTGAGCCGCAGCGGGAGGCCGCCCCACCTGACGATGCCAGGTCTGAGCCTGGGGGAGTCGACGTACCAACACCAGACGACACGGACCTGGAGGAGCTGCGAGCTTTCCTGGGGCGCGCTGGTGTCGCGGTGCAGCCTGGGGCCGATGAGGCAGCGATTCGTGGGAGCGTTCGCAAGTTGGCCGAAGGGCTCAATGAATGGAGAACCGAGAAGCGTGCCAAGGTCCAGGTCCCCGCCTAGGGAGGGACGGCCTTCGGCACACACACGTTGTCGCTCTGCGCACTTCTCGGCACGTACTCTGGTTGTATGGTTGACGGCTCTGGTTCGAACAGTGGGTGCTATGCCGTTGCTGGGCACGGCAGCAGGGTCGCTTGCTGCGAACCCACTGTTCCAGGAGCCTGGCGGCAGTGGAGCTGCTGATGAGGTGGCCAGGGCGCGCTGCCTGGGTCGGAGCGGCGGCGGCAGCGCCAAGGGCCGTGGCAAGGGACGGGGAGGACGAGCCGCGGACGCGCGGGTGGCCGATGCCTCGTCCCACGTCCGACCTCCTGCTCGAGACGTCGACGGACGTAGCGCCCCGAGCGGGAGGGCTGCCGCGGCCCAGGCGAGTCCGCAGCCGCTCGACTCCTGGCCCCGACGTGGTGCTGCGCAGGACGGGCCAAGCCATGGCGCTGGAGGCCTAGCGGCCGAAGGCCGTGGCAAGGGGCGTGCTAGGCGAGCCGCGGACGCGCGGGTGGTCGATGCCTCGCCTCTCGCCCCTGGGCCCACTCGGGCCGTCGACGGACGGAGCGCAGCCCCGAGTGGGGCCTTGGCCACAGAGCAGGTTGAGGTGGCCAGGGCGCACTGCCTGGGTCGGAGCGGCGGTGGCAGTGCCAAGGGCCGTGGCAAGGGGCGGGGAGGGCGAGCCGCGGACGCGCGGGTAGCCGATGCCTCGTCCCACGCCCGACCTCCTGCTCGAGACGTCGACGGACGTAGCGCCCCGAGCGGGAGGGCTGCCGCGGCCCAGGCGAGTCCGCAGCCGCTCGACTCCAGGCCCTGACATGGTGCTGCGCAGGACGGGCCAAGCCATGGCGCTGGAGGCCTAGCGGCCGAAGGCCGTGGCAAGGGGCGCGCTAGGCGAGCCGCGGACGCGCGGGTGGTCGATGCCTCGCCTCTCGCCCCTGGGCCCACTCGGGCCGTCGACGGACGGAGCGCAGCCCCGAGTGGGGCCTTGGCCACAGAGCAGGCCGGCAGCAAGGGCAGCATCGCGACGTTGAATTGTTCGTCCGGGAAGCAGCTGCTCGAGTACATGGTGCACTGCAGTCACACAGTGGTCGCGGTGCAAGAACGCCATGCTGCTCCTGATGATCTGGCTGACGCGCAGCACCGTTTGCTGGACGCGGGCTGGCAAGGCATACGGGCAGCAGCCAACCCCACAGGCAATGGCGGCACACAGGCAGGGCTAGCTGTATTGGCGAGGCCGAACGTCCTGATCACGCGTGGGCCGTGCCTGAACGGGCAGACCGAGCTGGCTGGTGGTCGAGCGTTGCCTGCCCAAGTCCATTGGGGAATTCCTGGAGGAGTGGTGCTGGTCTCAGTGTATCTATACGTCAATGAGGGTTGGTCAGACACTAACCTACACATCATGCAAGAGGTTAGCAGTTATTTTGAGAAATTGCATCATGCTGGCTACGATTGGATTGTGGCAGGAGGTTTCAATAGTGAAGCGTCGCAGTTTGGTGATCTGCGGTGGCTTCACGGGCTTGGCGGTATGCTTCGGGCTCCAGTTGCGACCACATGTCGACAAGCTATGCCTGGTAGTTGCATCGACTATTGCCTCACATCGTCTAACTTGATGACACGTGTGGAACAGCCGTGCGTACAGGAAGCGACTACCACTTTCCCACACTTGCCTGTGTACATGCCTATCAGTGGTAAGGACATCCAGTTGTATCATCGTGAACTTCGTGGGCCGCATTCTGTGCCCAAGCAGCCGAAACCAGGATGTTCGAGGTTCCCATTATGTTGGCATGGAGTGGTACGTCTTATAGATGCCGCGTGTGACGATAGCAGTTTGCAGGTGGCATGGGATGCAGTGTTGAGCCAAATCGAGCTGGAGCTGCTTGCCAGGCATGACATCGTTGGCGCCAAGGTCGAGCCGTTCGTTGGAGCATGTGGCCCCGTCGAGTTCGAGAAGGTCAAACTGCAGTGGCAACCACAACAGAAACGTTCATATTTGTCGAAAGCAGCCAATGCGTGGAGTGTCGCGGCCAGGTGGGCACGACATATGCGTAGGGCGAAGGAAGCGATCACCCATGTCACGGTTTTGGTGAGTCATCAGCAAGAGACAGGTGCGTTGGACACAGCCCTTTATCACAAGCTGTCGAACTTGATGATTGAGCTTGGCCGTTTCGTGGCGAAGGTGTTGTCCGAGACGGCCGTGCTCAGCGAGCTCGACAGCTGGGCGTCTGACGTTTTTCTCTCAGGAATGGAGTTCCTGGTCGATCCAGAAGTCGATGCAGTGCTGGATGCAATCGAAGCCAAAGCAGCGGAGTTTGCTGAGGCACACAGCCAGAAGACCGCCAAAGCCTGGAGGGACTGGGCGGCAGCTAGCTTCATTAATGGTGCGCGTTTCGCGCATAGGCACACGAGGGGGAGGGCGTCGCAGGAGGTGGTTAATGCAAGTGTGACTGCTCGCCCGCCCGCCCAGCCGCATCAGTTAGCCGATAAGGCCATGCGGGAATGGGAGAATATCTGGACGATGCATGATGTTGCCGCCCCACAGTTGCCAGCAGAAGCGAAGGGCTGGGAAGAGCTCCCACCTTTGACTGTGCTAGACGTGCAGCGCGCCATTCTTCAGTTTCCATGGGCGACGGGGGTCGGCCAGTTTAGCTTCGCACCCCGCAGTCTTATTTTCCTGAGCAATTCAGGCCTGGCGACCGGTGCCAAGCTATTCATGAAGTGTGAAAGTCTCTTGATCTGGCCATCTTGTAGACTGCTGACGCAGCTAGTTCGCCTCCCCAAGGCGTCAGGGGGATGTAGATTGATAGCGCTCTTGAACACGCTTCTGAGAGTCTGGGGTAGAGCCCGCAGGCCCATAGCGGCCGCCTGGGAGGTCGAGCACGATCTCGAATGTTTCTGGGGGACGGGAGCTGGTAGGTCGAGCTCGGACAGCGCGTTTTCTTTGAATCATGATGCTGAGATAGCGCACGAGATAGGAGAGGACAGCCTCACAGTCTTTATCGATATGCTGAAATGCTATGATACTGTCATCTTGCAGAGCCTGCTTCACGAGGCTAGGCTGAATCAGTTCCCGATGAGATTAGCATGGATGACGATTCAGACATACTTGCAACCTCGCTGCCTGCGTGCCTTTGCTTCACTGTCTGTGCCAGTGCAGTCCAATCAGGGTATCCTAGCAGGCTGTTCTTTGGCCACTACAATGCTTCGGGTCCTGTTGGACAGAAGCCTGCAGGATAGCATGACTATATACCCCACGGTCAAGCCACGAGCTCTGATCGATGATGTGAGCTTCCACTGGACTGGTGAACGGGCCAGGGTGGGAGAGCACGACGGTCAGGCTAGAGACTTGGCCAATGCAGTTCACAGTTTTTGCCTTAGCGTGAGGCCGCTCGGGTTAGTAGTCCAGCCGAGCAAGTCAGGGTTCGTTGCGAACACGACTCGAGGTCGAGATCTATTCGCTCGATTAGTCAAGCCTCTTCGCATGAGAGCGAAGCGAGCGATGCGCAATTTAGGGCACGAGATGCACGGCACTAGGGTCTTGCGTGTGCAAGAAAAGACGCGTCTTAAGAACCTCGCGGCTCGTAGGCGCAAAGTGTGGGGATTGAAGCACGCCGCGGGGGAGGCCGTGAAATCCTTGTGGAGGACGGAGCTCCTCCCAGCTGGCGGCCATGGCGCTGGAGTGTCTGGGATATCCGACACGGCGATTCGAGAACTTCGGACGTTCGCTGGAGGCATGTGCGGGGCCAAGCCCAAGGCGTCGCTCACCCTGTTTTTAGCAACGCAGCGAGACGACAGGTTCGACCCTATTTTTGATGCGACGGTTCCTCTGGTGGTTAGGTTTGCTTCGTTCATCTGGGACAATAGGGTCGCGCCTGGACGGCTCCGTAGAGCTTGGGATGCGGTCAAGGCCAAGCTCGACCATCGCACCTCGTGGACCAGAGCTCGTGGCCCCATCGCCTCTGTTTGGGTCACGCTTCTGCGTGTGGGTTGGACGATGTTTTCTCCAACAGTGCTTGTGGACGATCGAGGTCGCCACGTCGATTTGGTTAGGAATTGTCCAGGTGATGTGAACGCCTTCTTGGAGGAAGGCCTCTGCCGCTGGCAGGTAGATAGGATCCTTCAGCCCCTTCCCGACAGCCTTGGAGAGAGCTGCTGGAGGAGGGGAATGCGGAAAGCAGTTCTTGCAGTGAGAGATGTTGCGAGGCGAGGCGCCTTGCGAACGCTTTGGTCGTCGCGAGTTTGGAACCCCGAGCGGTTGCACAGCATAGGTCTTCGCAGTTCCCCGCAGTGTTTCGTGCGCAAGCAGGCGATTGGCAACGAGTCCCATCAATGGTTTGAGTGCGAAGCCATGTTAGAAGGATTGGACGTGCCAGTTCCCGATTGTGTCCTCGAGCTTAGGACGGCCATCAAGGCCAAGAATAATTCGCAGTCTGGAGCGGATCAATTTTATCTCAGCTTCGGTTTGCCGCCTGTGCCGCCAGCGCTGTCGCCCCCGAGCGACGTGCACCCTGTGATGGGATGGGGGGACTGGCGTGGGCGATGGGGGCGGAGGGTGTTCACGGACGGAAGCGGCCAAGCGTCGTCGATCCCAGAGCTGGCCCGCTGCGGCTGGTCAGTGGTAGAAGTCGACGATGCGGGCAATGTTTTGCGTGCAATTTTTGGCGCGCTCCCAGGAGCGGCACAGACGGTGCCGCGAGCGGAGCACTACGCAGCGCTCAAAGCAGTTGAAGTTGCACAGCAGCCAGCGATTGTCGTGTCTGATCACCTGAATATGGTGCGAGAGGGGTGTGCTTGGTCGGAGACAGCTGCCTCCTCTTGTGGCCGCCACGCTGCGGTGTGGGAAAAAAATCGTCGGATCTGTTCGGAGGCTCCTCCTACCTTCGAGTGGGTCCCTGCCCACAGAGATCTCGCGGCGGTCTTGGAGACCCCTGATTGCGATTTTGTCCGTTTCGTTGCAAACGAGTGGGCTGACTTCTTCGCCAAGCGTGGGGCTCTGGTGCACTCTATTGGCCAGACAATGCAGGACTATTATAAGCAAGCCATGAAGGCGGCCAGGGACCATGCCCAAATGTTTGCATGGATGGCCCAAGCAGCCGCCAAAAAGAATGTGGAGCTCCAGCCAAGGGAAGTTGTGCCGTCTCAGGTCTGTCGTGTCGTCACCACCCCCCTGGTTGTGCTGGACTCGCATGAGTTTCGATATTGCGAGAGCCTGTCTGAATACAGGTGCCTGAATTGTAACAGGTTCGCGAGGACTCCCGACTCCTCGAAGGCCCTTCGAGCGAGGCGATGCGAGCCCACGGATCTCCTGCGAGCGATGGCGACGCGTTATTTCGCCCTCACCCCCGAGCGCTATCGGCACGCCTCACTTGCAGTGGACGCCGCCGCGCGCTGCAGGCCTTGATGAAGGCCCAGGGCCCCCTGGAGGCCCGCTTGTGGGAGGGGGAGTGTGGGCTGACGTCGTCGCCGTCGGGGTCGATCGGGAGGTGGAATTGTATTCGGAACTTGGCCACGGTGTGGAGCGTTTCGGCTCCACGGTCATCTGCCTCTGCTGTGGGGCTTTTCAGTGTGGCTGGAGGCCGCAACCGCAAGCTGCGTGCCCAGTGCAAGGGGGCACTCGGACGTAGCTTCCACGCGTGCGAACGAGGAGATGCAGATCTCCCGTGCGTTGCGCGGGCTGCACCCCCGATCGGGGGACCCTTGCCCATGGTGCCCTCGACGCCAGGTCTCTTCCGTCGGCCTTCCGACGCGGCGGGGACGGCGCTGTCGAGGACTAGCGGCACGGTGCGATGGCTCGTGGCCTCGCCGTGTTGCTTCCAACTTCCTTCCCGCTGAAGCGGGCCCGTACGCTCGGACTCGCTCTTCATCGCTCGCTGCCTCCTGTTCCTCACTCTTCTTGACTCCTCCGTGTCTCGTTGCGCAAGTATTGCGAAGGTCTCACGGCCGGTGCCGCCGACCCTGAAGGGGGATGTCGACGACGACGGCGGCGGTGGCGGCGGCGACGACGACGACGACGACGCTGACGTGGGCCCGAGTCCTCAGGGATGCTTCTTGGGGTCTCTAGAGAAGGCTCTCGGGGGCCTCAGGGAGGGAATTTTGGGATCTCTTGGGAGCCACTTGGGTGCCTCTTGGGGGCCTTTTCGGGTGTCCTGGGGGCCTCTTCTGGGCCTCTCGGGGCCTCCTGGGAGCTTCTCGGGGCCGAAAGCTCGAAATGTCCGTTCGGGTTCCCCGTCAAGGCACGCTCTTGGAGCCGTCTTGGGGGCCTCTTGGGCTCTTGGGCCGTCTTGGAGGCGGTTTGGGCTGTCTTGGGGTTCTCTTGGGATGTTCTGGAGCGCTCTTGGAAGCCTTTTGGGCCGCCTTGGGGCGATCTTGAGGGATTCGTCGGCCGTCTTGGAGCGGTGGGAAGCGGAAAAGGCGAGAACGCCCAAATCTGTCAAAATTTGGATGACGTTCACTGATATTTGCCTCTGGTGGCTCTTTCGGGAGTGCCTTTGGAGGCCGCTTGGGGCGTCTTGGAGGTGGAGGTCTCTTGGGCAGTTTGGGAGCGTGATGGCGTTTTGGACCGATCGTTCGGCGATTGGGGGCCCTCTTGGACCGTCTCAGGGGTTTCTTGGGACACTCTTGGCTTGTTTTGGTACCTTTTGCAGCCACGGGACCCCCAGGTGGGATAGGTACTTGACCCCCCCCAGGACCCCGCCCCGACGGGGGAGGGATCAAAGGGAAGGGGCTTCCCTTCGATTCGATGACGACATTGCGAGGTTTTTCTCTCGCTGATAGGCTTGAGGAAGGTGCAGGGAAATGGAACGACGCAGACGACGCATGACGGAGACGACGACTCGAGCAGACAAACCCCTCGCACACGCCGACAGGGTCGGCGGATTTGGCCAACACCCGTGTAGTACTCCGACTTCCTTCTCCTCCTTCTCCTCCTCCTGCTCCTCCTCCACCTCTTCTTCCTTCTTCGCCTCTCCTCATCTCTTTCTGCTCATTCCTCCCCCTCCTCCCCCCCTTTCCTTTTCACCCCTCGCTGCCCCAATCCTCCCCCTCTCCCCCATTCCCCCTGGCCCCGCTGTCCCAATCCCCCTGGCCCTCCCCCAATCCCCCCTCCCCCAATCCCCCAATCTCCCCCCCCCTCCCCCAATCCCTCGGTCCCAGGCTCCTCGCTCCCTCCTCCCTCCTTCCTTCTCATCCTCCGCCTCGAGGAGGGCGGCCCGAACGGCCAGAAGCCCGCCTGGAGGCGGGGTAGCGCCACCAGGGCCGAGGAGAGCTGCCGGCTGGGGGGGTGCGGCCCCCTTGGGGGATGGACGGGAGGGGCGCGGGTCTTGCCGGAGGGACTTGGGAAGAGGGGAGAAGAAGGGGAGGGGGAAGGGCGGGGTGGGAAGGACTGGGGAAGGGGGAGCAGGATGGGGAGGCGGAAGATGAGGACGAGGCGGATGATGATGATGATGATGATGATGATGATGATGATGATGATGATGATGATGATGATGATGATGATGATGATGATGATGATGATGATGATGATGATGATGATGGTTATGCTGATGCTGACGATGATGCTGATGCTAATGCTGATGCTGATGCTGATGCTGACGCTGATGCTGATGCTGATGATGATGATGATGATGATGATGATGATGATGATGATGATGATGGTGATGCTGATGCTGATGATGCTGATGCTGATGCTGATGCTGATGCTGATGCTGATGCTGATGCTGATGCTGATGCTGATGATGCTGATGCTGATGCTGATGCTGATGATGATGATGATGATGATGATGATGATGATGATGATGATGATGATGATGATGACGACGACGATGATGATGATGATGATGATGATGATGACGATGACGATGACGATGGTGATGGTGATGATGCTGATGCTGATGCTGATGCTGATGCTGATGCTGATGCTGATGCTGATGCTGATGCTGATGCTGAGGAGGAGGAGGAGGAGGAGAAGGAGGATGAGGATGAGGATGAGGATGAGGAGGAGGAGGACGACGAGGACGAGGACGAAGGGGGGAAGACAACCAGCGGGAGGACAATGGGGGAAGGGTGGGAGGCAATGGGGAAGGGGGGGAACTTCCTCCTCCTTCCCCTTTCCTCCCCCTCCCATCCCCACCCCTGATTCCCCATCGCCTTGCCCTGGGGGAAGTCGATGGGGAATCAGGGGTGTTGATGGGAGGGGAAGACGAGGCCGGAGGGGGGGTATTCTGCAAGGGCGGGGGGAGGGTGCGGGGGGAAAATGGGATGCCAGGACGGGGCAGCACGCCAGCGGCATCGCAGCTCACGCTAATTACGACTCGTTGAGTCCCCTCGGGCAGGACGGGGGGAAAGCAAAGGGGGGAGGAAGAGGGGGCCGTGCCGCTGGATGTCTGCAGCAAGGAGGGCATAGTAGAGAAGAAGATTAGGCCAAAAGTATCCTGGAGCAGAGGCACAGTGGAGAGGGTGCTCCAGGGCCCACTCCTCCTCGTCTCGACTCAATGGGCTTGCGTGTGTCCGCTGCCTGCTCTGGAGAGGAGGGGAAGAAAGGGAGAGGGGGCAAGGGCAAAGAGAGCGCATCGCACGACAACTGAACTCTTATTCCTGAGCATACAGTCGTCTCCCCGCTCCCATTGGAGGTACGGATCGAGTGGAACGGGAAATGGGGCCAAGGCCAAATGCACGTCCCACTCCCCCCCTGCCGCAGACCCCTTACTCGGAAAGATCGCCTCAAAGAGGCTGGAGGAAAGGAGGTGGCAGATGAGGGGAGGATAAGTCTTGGCCCTTCCCGTACACCAAGCTGCATCCGCATCCAGTCATGGGAGGATCTCGTGATCATGCACCCCATCGCGCTTCCCTCCCCCTCGATAAGAATAGTTATACGAATAACATGGGTAATAACAAGAATACGACTAGCAATCATAAATACACATAGTACGAACACTAGCAAGAACAAGCAGGTGAGCCTAGGCAGCGCACTACACTTCACGTCATCAAGAAGCAGAGTCGTCCCCCTCCTCTACCCCCAACCATGCACTGAGGACAAGTCGTAAAACAACCAGGCTTACGGACCAAACTGAACATCTGCAACAGAGCCCACGAGGAGGGTGCTAGGTGCCAGGGGACGATGACGACTCGTGCTCGGATGCTCCATGATACAGGGGAGCAGGGCATGCCCTAAACGAACATGACGTGGTTCCCCTGGCTTTGCGCGCTGGAATTCCCGACAGGAGCTCCGGGTAACCGACGGGTGGTGGCTGGCGCGTGTGATCTGGCTCAGTGTTGGCACGAACGCTCGACCAGGGGAGCTCCAGCAAAAACGCCAGACACCAACACCCGTCCGTGAGCATCTGCAGCCTGACATTCACAACCTTCCGTGTGATATCCCCCATTTTTGGATCGTCCGCCACATCAGGGGACAAAGTCACGACCCTCAAACAGTGTTCATGCTTGCTCTGGTCAAGAACGTATTGCGCGTCTCTCCCCCTTCTATGCCCTGAGGCAAGGCGCAGCACAAACTTGACATCAGACGCAGGGTAACCAGTGGAGAGACGACAAGCACTCGTACTGCATCCCTCGTGCGCATCAGGTCTTGCACCACAAACGGGGGCGGGCGCTCGTCAGAGAGAAGAGCGAAAGAGGGGGCCTGCACTCTGAAAGCAGGACGCTCAGCAAAATGATCAGCGGGGTGCGCAGCCCAGTTCCTCTTAGTGGCCATGCCGACGGCCCTCGAATGAGCCACCTCCTCCTCCTCCTCCTCCTCGGGGGCCTGACTGGGCCACGGCTGCCAGGACAGACTACACTTGGACGTCCCAGCACGATGCTCAGCAAGCATGGCAGGGATTTGATGTTCTGTGGGACACACATACACACACACACACTTAGCACAACTTCCAGACAGCCCACGAGAGAACACGATCCCCCCTCTTTTGGAGCTTTCCGACATGCGCGGCCAGCGTCTTTCTGTTCCTGGCGTGAAGCCCTCACTCAGACAAAAAAGAACACTCCTTGGGCAGGTCTGGGTCTGTCCACACAGCTCTCGAGCCTCGTTTCGAGGTTGAGCTTGTAAAGCTGCCCATCCAGCTTCATCGTAAGCTAACTATCTTCCTACTGAAACATGGTGCTGCCAATGACCACGGAAATCTGGAAAGAATTTGTTTTCGATACCAGGGAAGACAAAACCACAGGAACTTCCGCACGCATGGCAAACTTATTCATCCACTCCCAGCCCATCACGCATGGTGCCAAGAGCCACTTTGAGTATGGGAGAGGCGCTTCACAGCAGACGCCCAAGGTACCACTCCTCCTCCTATTCCTCCTCCTGCTCCTCCTCCTCCTCCTTGACGGGTTTGGCTTTCGGGTTATATAATTCGGGCGATTGGTGGCCGTTCGGAGCGATTCTGGCACCCCTGGAACGATCTCGGCGACACCGAGCTGCAGGTACAACATCCCGATGCCAGAAGACCTCCAGGAACAGACGAAAACGTGGGACAGCTTCGAACCTCCTCGTCCTCCCCCCTCCATGCCCTCGTCGTTCTCGCCTGCGTCGTCCTCGTCCACGCCGTGCTGCTGCTGTTCTTCGTCGTCGTTGCCCTCGCCGACGGCGACGCCGCCGCCGCCAAGGACGACGACGGACGAGCTGGCGGCGCCCTCGCCTCTGTAGGACATCTTCTGAATGCAAAGCAGACTTTGAAGACATCACCCCCACCGTCCTCGTCCTCGTCGTGCTCGTCGTGCTGCTGCTTGCTGTTCGTCGTCGCCCTCCTTCTTTCGCTGTCGGGCTCCCTCGCCGCCCCGCCAGGAGGAGGGCACGCCGGCTGCGACTCCATCTGGCGGCAGCCGCCGCTCGCCGGAGTGCCGGCCCCAGGTGGCTTCTCTTTCTCGTCATCGTCGCCGTCAGAGGTATCGTCGTCGGGGTGAGCGGCGTCGTCGTCGTGGGGGTCGTCGTCTTCGCTGGTCTCGTGGTCATCGGGGTCGTCGTCGTCTTCATCGTCGTCATCGGTGGCCTCGTGGTCGTCGGGGTCGTCCTCGTCCTCGTCGGTCTCGTCGTCGTCGTCGTCGTCGTCTTCGTCGTCGTCTTCGTCGTCGTGGGCTTGGTCGCTGTTGGCGGCGTCGTCGTCGGAGTCGTCATCTTTGGCCTCGTCGTCGTCGCCGTCGCCGCCGTTGTCGTCATCGTTCGCGTCTTCGCCGTTGTCGTCGCTGTCGTCGTCGAGGTTCGTCCTCCTCCTCGTCGTTGCAGGTGTTCACCAGCCACCAAACCTCCATCACCCAACCCGAAGGCCACAATTTGCCCTCCATTCCCAGTAGGGGGGGCGTCGGGGAGCATTGAAACAAACACACGTGGAACCCGTACCCCCCCCCCCAACCCGAAATCTGGGCTTTCGGGTTAGGCTGGGGTGGTCTGGTAGGAGTCAGGTGTAGGAGGCCCTAGACCGCGTTGCCCTACTCCTCATCCTTCGTCTCCCTGTCCTTCCTTCTTCTTCCTCCAGGCCTGACACCATGCCGCCCCAGTCAAATCGCACACCTGCCCGGAAACCAATCGAAGTACAAGCGAGAGATTTGCCGCCAAAACCTCCACTACGCATGCCGACGCTGCCCCCGCGGACCTGGGAAACCCATTTGACGCCCTCCTCCTCAGGAGCCCCCGCGGCTCTGGGAAGTGTGCCGTCTTTTCGGGGCAGGCTCCGAGGGCGTATCCGAAGGCCCGGGGCCTCCCGAACCCTCCGAGAAGGCCCGCCCCTTCTCGCCCCCCCCCCCCCCCCACCGGGCTCGCCGCCGCCGCTCGCCCCTCCGCCCGAGCGCCCTCCCCGCAGGCCCGGCCGGGCCCGCCGCCGGCGCCGCCCGCGCCTCAGCCGCGGCTGCGCGCCGTCGCCGCCGCCGGCGGGGGGCCCTGGGGGCCCCTGGGCGCGGCCCTGCGGGGGGGGTCTCCCGATCGCTGGGTGCGTGGGGCGGGAGCAGCGACCTGCTGCGAGGGTCAAGCCCAGTTCCGACCTAGAGTACCGTTTTTAATACAGGCTCCGCGTGCGGATCATGTATCACAAATGCAGGGATTTAGCATGAAAAACAAGGATGAGTTCATGCATCAGTTTATTCATGAATTAGTCATGTTTTAAAAATCCCATACTAAAAAAACAATCCTATGTATTAAAACTGCCCTGTAGGTTCCAACTCGGGTTCGAGACCTGGGTCGGGGCCGAGTCACTCGGCTCAGACCTGGGTTCCAGCCTAGGTTCCAGCCAGGGTTGGAACCCAGGTCAAGCACATGCCGCGCTGCCCCTCCCCCCCCCTTCTGCCGCGTTCCCCTTGCCGCGCTTCCCCGTCCCTGCCACGCTCCTCTCCCCTCCTTGAGAAAGCCGCGCCGAACAGTCGACTCGTGCCTGGGGGCCACTCGTGTGCGTTGCCGACCTATCCCCAGGCCCACCCTCCCCCTTTTCCCCCCCAAGAAGGACTTGCAGTGTGGAGCAACGGGGAAGTCTGGGACGCACTCCCAGGGAGCTTTCCAGACGCGCCACTGGCGAGGATGGACGGCCCCCAACGTGTAATCCCGAGTTGGGCCCCCATTTGTTTGATCGGCGCGAGAACGTTCGCGGATGGGAAACATGTTGATGTCCACGGCCTCGCGGCCCAGACTCCTCGATTGCGCCCCCCGTGAAAATAGGGAGGCTTTGCGCGGATGCCCCGCGCGGACAGTTACCCACGGGATCGCGCCATCCATGAGGTCGCATCTGAGTGTCCAGACCGCGAGGGCATGTTCGTCGGTTCTGGAGCGCGGAACTACTTCGGATGTTTCGTCGTTTCTCGCGGCTCGAGGATTGACGTTTTTGGTCGTGTTCTCCCACCAAGCAGCGTCTGGGGATACAACTTTATTTCTCATCCAGCATCTTTTTTTTCCTTTCAGCGTTTCGCCATCTCGTTTATTAGTGTGGTTTTCCGGTAAGCCCAGCTCAATAGTACAATGCGGGCCACGCGCACGCGCGCCCCCGCGAGCGTTGGCTGGAATCATGGCACACGGCTCCGCCGCTGAAGCATTGCCATACAGATCTGCTCAACAGCACACAACACCCGTCTGTTTTTTCTTTGGAGGTTCTTTGAGATGTGGGCCGTGCGCGCGCACGTCCTCCCCACTATCACAATCGTCAGTGACATCACAGCCACCGTGGTCATCATCATTCTCGTGATCGTCGTCGTCGTCCCCGTCGTCATCGTCGTCACCGTGATCATCGTCCCTGCTGTCGTCGCCGCTTTCGTGGTCGTTGTCGTTGTCCCCATTCGCCCGCCCGAGAAGGGTCCGCGCGTTATCGCCGATTTCCACACTCCATGCACACACGCTCCCTTGAGATGTGCCATAAAGTTGCCGCTGGAGCGGTGGGGTGTTTGTTCTAGCATGGCACGGGGTCACGCACGAAGGCTCGCAATTTCCTTCTTGCACCCCACATTGAGATTCCATTTCATTGCGCGCAACAAATTGCAACCCATGGAATGCACCACAAAGGTCGCACGCAGAGAGTGGAATACCCCACTGTTCGGGGTCGGCGCTGGCAAATATTGGTGTTTGTGTGTTCCCGGAGGCCGCCAGAGACCTTTGCCTTCCGAATCTCCGATCTTAGCAGCGATTGCCAAGACGCTGAGGTCGGCGCCCTTGCGGCCCTTCAGGCCTGGCGCAAGCCTTTCGGAGGCGCAGAAGGCCGAGCGGGAGATCAAGAGCGCCCTGAACAAGCTCACTCGTGATAAATTCGACACCCTCTACGAGCAGATCTTCAGGTGCCTCGCGAAAAGCGAGGACAAGGCGGAGATTACGGGGGTCATCGCGCGCGAGGTGTTCTCGAAGGCGACGATGCAGCAGTGCTTCGTCGAGATGTACGCAGACCTCTGTGCACGACTGCACGCAGACATGAAAAAGGCCAACATCGAGGCGGATTTTAAGCGGTCGTTGCTCGACCGTTGTCAGCAATCCTTCAACGCGCACCTGGAGCCGCCGGGTATCGATGAGTGCCTGGACTACGAGGAGCAGTACGAGATGCTCGTGAAATACAAGACCCGGATGACTGGGACCGTGCGCCTCATCGGGCACCTGCTCCGCCAGAGGATGCTCTCCCCCAAGTTCATCTTCGTCTGCGCCGAGGAGCTGCTCGAGATCGGCTCCCCGGAGGCCCTGGAGACGCTGTGCGCCTTCCTGGAGACCATCGGCTCCACCTTCGACGCCCAGGAGTGGCAGGGGCGCGCCCGCCTCGAGGAGGTCTTCGTGCGCGCCCGCCGGTACTCCGAGGACCCCGAGCGGCCGCAGAGGAGCAGGTGCCTGCTGAAGGACCTGCTGGACCTGCGGCAGAGGCAGTGGAAGGCGCGCGTCATCAAGGAGCCCGAAGTGGCCGCCCCCCCGCAGCGAGCCCCGGAGGGCCAGCGAGCGGCGCAGGACGCCTCCTCCTCCCGGAGGGCTGCCCTCCTCCTCCTCCCCCGGCCTTCCTTCTCCCTCGCCTTTTCGCGCCCTGCGTCCGCTCTGTTTCCGTGTCCCTCCATGCTCCATCCCTGATCCCTTTCTCCTAGCCCCCCCCCCCCTGCTTCCTCCTCCTCCTGTGCCCCCCCTTGCTTCTCCTCCTTCTCCTTGCATTCTTGCCGTTCGAGACGTTTCGCCAACGGTCTGGAATGGCCCGTTCGCGAACTTCAAGACCCCCAAAGGGCCTTGTCCTTGCCCGCTCGGCCGAGGGGAAGAGAAGATGTTCAAAGCGAACGGTTCGCAAACGGTTCGCGAACACATGTTCTTGGCATCGCTCGCACGTGTGTATTTTTTCTCGGCGAGGACCATCGAGGAGCATTTTGCTCACCTTGGGAAACAAAAACACGCACGAAACCGACAAATGCACAGGGAACGGACGTCCGAGCGATGGCGAGTGTTCGCAAACGGTGTTCGGGCCAGCCAAGCCCCCCCCCCCCGACCCCGCAGGACAGCAACTGGCGGGCCCCCCGAGATCCTGCCAGGGCGGAGGAGCCGAGGGCGCACCCATCGCCGCAGGGCGGCCGCGCCTCCATCGCCGCGGCCGTCTGGCCTCTCCCAAGAGGGCCAGGCAGTCCAGGAGCCCTACGCTCGGCACGATATGGATGCGCGCGTTCGGTGGCAAATCATGGGAGCCTTGCATACCCTTGCAACTCCGTCATTCGAGTGCACCGGCGTCGATTAGCGTCTGGTGGACGATGAGATAGCGCCGGTGTAGGTCGATGTAGCGTCGATTCAGCGTCGATTCGCAAGAGCGTAACAGGATGGTACGAGAGGCTCCCATGAGTTGCCAACGAGGGGGGGGGGGGGGGGCAAAAGAATGGGTGCGATGACCGACAGCAGTTCCTGTCCATTCTGAGCAGGGTTCGCTGTCGCCGCCGCCGCGGCTTGTGTCCATGTGAGACAGAACCATCGAGTTCCAGCGAATGATTCCTCCTGCTGCTGCTCGTCCCCCTCCGTCTCGTCACTCTCCTCGCTGTCCACCGCGCGCCCCTCCTCCAGCTCGTCCCTCGTCCTCCTTCCTTGTGCCTCTCCTCCTCGTCCTCGGCCCTCCTCCTGCACCCACTCCTCCCGGACTCGTGAGCTCAGAGAAGAGCCCCCTGAGTGCTTTTGAAGGGGCGCCACCCGCGGCCACCCGAAGGAGGAGGAGGAGGAGGAGGAGGTGGAGGAGGAGGAGGAGAAGGAGAAGGAGAAGGAGAAGGAGGAGGAGGAGGAGGAGGAGGAGGAGGAGCGGGAGAAGCAGTACCAGGAGGGAGGAGGAGGAGGAGGAGGAGAAGGAGGAGGAGGAGGTGGAGGAGGAGGAGGAGGAGGAGGAGAAGGAGAGGAGAAGGAGGAGAAGGAGACGAGGAGAAGGAGGAGGAGGGACGAGGAGGAGGAGGAGGAGGAGGAGGAGAGGGAGGGAGGGAGGAGCAGCCCCCGGATTGAAGCTGACGGGCACCTGGGCTCCCTGGCTCCGGGGGTGGCCACGCGGCCGTGGCCCCATCGGCGCGGGAGCGGACGAGGCGGGCCTGCGCCGCAGCCGCACCTGCACATCGGAGGCCCTCCCGGCGCCGCGCTCCGGGGCCGAGGCGGGGCTCCGGCGCAGCCGCACCTGGGGCTCGGAGGCCGCCTCTCCTCCTGCTTCGGCCTCCTCCTGGCTTCTCCTCCCGCCTCCCCCCCTCCCGCCTGCTCCTCCTCCTCCTCCTCCTCCCTCCTCCTCCCCTCCTCCTCCTCCCTCCTCTCCTCCTCCTTCCTCCTCCTCCTCCTCCTCCTTCTCCTCCTCCTCCTCCTCCTCCTCCTCCTCCTTCTCTCCTCCCTCCTCCTCCTCCTCCTCCTCCTCCTCCTCCTCCTCCTCCTCCTCCCCTTGGCCTCTCCCCCTGGCCTCCACCCCCCGCCCGCCCCTGCGGCTCCACCTGGGCCGCCGCGGCGGCGCTCCTCTGGACTCCGGGTCTGCTCCAACCTCCTCTTCCAACCTCCAGCCTCAGAAGGATGAGGACGAGGAGGATCGAGGAGGAGGAGGAGGAGGAGCACAGAGGAGGATCCAGGAATCGAGGGCCGCTGTTTGATTTTTTGACCCTGGAGGCCTCCGATCTCCTCTTCCGCCTCTCCTTCCCTGTTCTGTCTTCCTCTCGGGTTCCTCCCCCCTTGCACCCTCCCTCCCTTGTTGCCTCGCCTCATCCTCTTCCTCCTCGCCTCTCTCGCCTCCCTCCGGCCTTCTCCTCCTCCTCCCCTCTCTCGCCTCCCTCCCTCGCTCCCTCGCTTCCTCCTGGGCACGCTGCGGTGCTCGAGTCCTCCAAGGTGCCTCCTCCCGCTCCGCTTCCTCCCCCCATTCACCTGCCCTCCCGGGGAGTAGCGGGAGTCATCGGAGGAGGGAGGAAAGGGGGGTGCGTCATTTTTGGCGAACGTCGGAGGAGGAGGAGGAGGAGGAGGAGGAGGAGGAAAAAAAACGGAGGCGAACTTGCAGGCAAGCTTGCCAGAGCCCGATCACCACTACGAACCTGAAACGTACGCATCCCCGCCCCTGTCCTCGGCATCCCTTCTGGCTCTGAGAAGATCTTGAGGGTCCTCTTGGCTCTTTGATGAAGGGGCTTCTCTAGGAGTGACCGTCGCCTCGGGCTGGCCGATGTCCAGGGCAGGGCACAGTTCGAGGCCCGCGGGGGAACGCCCGAGGGCATACCTCCTCCTCCTCCTCCTCCTCCTCCTTCTCCTCCTCCTCCTCCTCCTCCTCCTCCTCCTCTGCTTCTCCCGCTCCTCCTCCTCCTCCTCCTCCTCCTCCTTCTCCTTCTCCTTCCTCCTCCTCCTCCTCCTCCTCCTCCTCCGCCTCCTCATCCTCCTCCGCGATCGGTAGCGACCGGTCGGCAGGCGAGATCGGTCGCGACCGATCGCGACCGATTTCAGGACAGGTCGCGGCCGATCTGGAGTCGAAGAAGACAAAACGCCATAAACATGAACTGTTGACGCTCCGCGCGGATTTCTTGGATCCGCGCGGGGCCCACGTGAGTGCGGCGACATGTGTCTCCAGCCTTCGACGCCGTCGTCGTGGTGGTGGTCGTGGTCGTCGTCGTAATCGTCGTCGTCTCGTCGTCGTTTTGTCGTCGTCGTCCTCGTCGTCGTCGTCGTCGAGACTGTCCTCGGCGCACCTCGAGCGGCACCGTGCACTCCGGAGAGGCGCCGCCGCGCAGCCCGGTACCGGGCGGCCCCGCAGGCGCCGAGGACCCGGAGCGCCGCCGTTCTCCGCCGCGGCGGCAACGCCACCCAGCGCCCAAGGCCCAGATCGAGCGGTTCGGCAGTGGTTACGGGAGTGCTTTTGTTACCCTTTTGGGCCATAACGCGCGTCATGTTATGTCTCCTCTCCCCCTCCCTCCCCCCCCCATAACGTGATGCTCTCTCCCCTCACAGTCTGGGGGACGGGGGCGCTACGTTATGCCCCCTTCCGTCCCCCCCCATAACGCCCGATATGGCCGCGAATAAAAATATGCGCTCTATGGTCGGAGAAACGTAGGACTCGAGTACGCCGGAAATCGGGTTTGCCGACGCTGTTTGACGAGCGCGTCCCAGATTTTGACGGTCCGTGGGGTGTTTGCAGCGGGAGCTCGCGTCAGATTTCAGATTGGGTCTCCTCAGTGTCATGATGGCCCCGTCAGGCCAACCCGAGTCCCCCGAATCTCGAGGCTTACTCGGCGGCGAGCCCGGGGGGGGGGAATGAGAGGGGGCGGGCCCTCTCGGAAGGCTCGGAAGTCCCCCGGCCCTCTGAGAAGTTTTTGTTATCCCTCCCCGGAGACACAGAAAACTCCGCAGAACGCGCGAGGGTTTCTGAGAAGCCCCGCCGTCTTCTGAGAAGGTTTCCTCCTCCTCATTTCTCCCCTCGATCGCCGCCGAAATACGTCTGCCCGATATGGATTGCAGTCGGAGTCGATGTTAGGGACGGGTAGCATTCCCGAGGGTGTTCCTGAATCTTTGCCTCTTAGGCCCATCCTTGACCAGCCTCGACGGCCCGCCCCGCGTCCAGGTCGGCCACGCGCAGAGTGGTGCAGGGGACGGGGGGGGGCAGGCTTCCTGGACTGCTTGAGACGGCGCGGGCCTTCCCTGTAGATGCGGGGCCGGCGCCTTTCTGTTGAGAAGCAGCTCCCTCTCGAGGAGGCCTTCCCGCATCCCCCTGCCCCCTTTTGTGCGCGCCACCAGGTCACGGCGCTGACAGCAGGACCGCGCTGGGCTCAGGAGGGGGCTCAGGAGCATTCGGCCCGCCCCTCAGGTCCAGGTCGGGAATTACCAGCCTCGAACTTATCCCTATCCTTAAGATTGACACGCCAAAAAGCGATGACAATCTTAGGGATGCGCCCTCAAAAAATAAGGGAATCCCTCAGATTGGCATCGTGAGGAGGAGATGCCCAGCACAGGGACAGGGATATGTTCCAGGCTGGTCAGGGAAACACACACATATATATATATATATATATATATATATTACTGGACGAGGCCCGCCGTGGCCAGGAGAGCCCCGGTCGTTCCTTCTATATTCGGCCTTCTGGTGTTGTGTCTATCAAAGAGGGCGTGACGGTTCTTCGCCAGTCGATGTGCGGGGATCCGGCCGGATACTCCGAGGTATGATGCGTCGGGGGTGGACAGAACCTCCAACAGTGACACGTCGATTAGTGAACTGTCCGTTTTCGGTTCTCGAGAGGGCGCCGTGACCGTTATTTTCCAGGCTTGCGCCCACCAGGTTTGGGCCTCAGGTCGTCGCTAAACCACGTTTTACTAAAGTGGGGTCTGTCTATCCCCGAGCGAATCTGGATAATCCAGGGCAGATGCGGGCGAATCCAGGTACATTTGGGTCAAGCTTGCTAAATCCAAGTACATCCAGAGATCCCCGATGGACCGTTTAGCCGCGCTGCAGAACCCAACCAGCCCATCCAGAAACGATGCCCAGGCGAGTTGCCTTGATCATGCATGTGGAGGAGGACGCAGTGGAGTGAAGGCTGGGAAGCCGACATACCCCAAGACGGGGAGGATGGAGGAGGAACCAGGGGAGGAGGGGGAGGAGGAGGGGCAGGCGGAGGAGGGAGGAGGGGGGAGGGAGGAGGGGGGAGGGAGGAGGGGGGAGGGAGGAAGAGGATAAGGCGAATGAGGAGGAGGAGGAGGAGGAGGAGGAGGAGGAGGAGGAGGAGGAGGAGGGGGGTAAGCAGGAAAGGCCAGATGCCTCTTGGATGCCTCTCACAGTTTTTTACCTAACAGCTCTTGCTGATAGGTTTCTAGTGGTCTCAAAAGAGAGCAGCAGATGACTCCACAGGGGGGTCGGGGCGGGACCCGGAACGGCTGCCGCCGCGGCTGCCGCCGAAGCCGAAATCGCTTGGGACATCCTCGCAAAATCGCTCTTGGTGCTCCCAGAACTCCATTCCCGGGCCACATTTTGGATGCCCGGAGCCAACTGTAGGCCACTTCGTGCTCTTCGACTTCCCAGAACTCCATTCCCGGGCCACATTTTGGATGCCCGGAGCCAACTGTAGGCCACTTCGTGCTCTTCGAGTTCCCAGAACTCCATTCCCGGGCCACATTTTGGATGCCCGGAGCCAACTGTAGGCCACTTCGTGCTCTTCAGTTCCCAGAACTCCATTCCTGGGCATGATTTTGAATGCCCGGAGCCAACTGTAGGCCACTTTGTGTTCGTGTCCATTCTTCTGAGTGATGCTGAGGCTGAAGGGGGCCACATTTTGAATGCTGAGGCAGGCTGATGCTGCGGCCGAGGCAGGCTGAGGCTGAGGCAGGCTGAGGCTGAGGCCGAGGCTGAAGGCAGACTGAGGCTGAGGCTGAAGCAGGCTGAGGCTGAGGCTGAGGCAGGCTGAGGCTGAGGCTGAGGCAGGCTGATGCTGAGGCAGGCTGAGGCTGAGGCTGAGGCTGATGCAGGCTGAGGCTGAGGCAGGCTGAGGCTGAGGCCGAGGCTGAAGGCAGACTGAGGCTGAGGCTGAAGCAGGCTGAGGCTGAGGCTGAGGCAGGCTGAGGCTGAGGCAGGCTGAGGCTGAGGCTGAGGCAGGCTGAGGCTGAGGCTGTGACTGCGACTGCCGTTGCCGCTGCGACTGTCATCGCGAATGCGACTACGACTGCGAGAACAGCAGAATTCTACAATTGGATTTACATCTGAATCTTAAGGGGAATGCTTTCAGATATGCTTCTACACATCGCTGTTAGGTTGCTTTGCCGGGATAATTTGATACTTCTTGGGAGCTTCTTGTAGGCGTCTTGAGGCCTCTTGGGGGCCTCGTAGCGGTCCTGGGGACCTCTTGAAGCGTCTTGGGTGCCTCCGGGGGGCCTCGTTGGGCCTCTTGATGGTCTGTTGGGAGTCACTTAAGGGCCTCTTGGAGGCATCTGGTGGACATCTGTTGGGCCTCTTGGGCACCTCGTGGGGCCCTCTTGGGGCACTATTGGGAGCCCTGGGGTCCATCGTGGGGCCATCTTGCATGATATCGATCAAAGTACGGGCCGAAATAGATCAGCCCCACCCCACACCCCTCCATGAAGCCAATCTGTAGCCAAGACCTTGTTGTAAAGTCAATACTGTGTACTTTCTCGCCGGGGCTGTTTTGGACGCTCTAGCCCCCAGCCGCAGACCCAGGGGGAGGGGGGAGGGGGAGGGTAAACCTCTCCACGAAGGGGAAGTAGGGGAGTTTGAAGAGGAAGCGTTCTAATCCACTCACGCCCAGAGGGCTGCTGGATTAGCAACCCCTCCCAGGAGGCCAACACGTGGCCCCAAAATCATAGGAACATCAATGCTGTTGGCCTTCTCGCCGAGGCCTCTTGGGGCGTCTTGGGTGCCTCTGGTGGCCCTCTTGGGGGTCTCTGGGGAGAGCCTCTTGGAGCAATTTTGGGGACCTCTTGGGGGCTTCTTGGATCTCCTGGGCACGCCTTGGGGCCCTCTTGGGGCACCCTTGGGAGCCTTGGAACCATCCTGGGGTCATCTTGGAGGAGATCAGTCAAAGGACGGGCCGTGCTCAGCTAGGCTCCTCCCCCCAGGAGGCCCCCAATATGGCCAACACCTTAGTCAAATCGATGAGTTCGGCTTCCTCGCCGAGATCACAGACCCTCTGACACCTCGCGTTCCCCCCCGTCCGGGCCCGGGGGGAGGGGGTAGGGGGAGGGGTCAAGACACCCTGCCCGCCCGCAAGCCGTCTCGCTCACTCCCAACCGCCCTCCCAACACATACGTAGCACCCGAGCCTGGCCCGAGCCGCAGCATATTCAGCAGTCGTCTGTGGATGGGCAGCTACTGGGGGCGAATCCTGGTGCCGCCGCCCGCCGCCGCCGCCGCGCCGCCGCCGCCGCCGCCGCCGCCGTTGTCCGCCGCCGCCGCCACTGCGCCGCCCGCCGCCGCCGCCGCCGCTGCCGTCCCCGCTGCCGAATCGCCGCCGCCGCAGCCGTTGCCGCCGCAGCCGCTGCCGCCGCCGCCCGCTGCCGCCGCCGCCACCGCCGCCGCCGCCGCCGCCGCGCCGCCGCCGCCGCCCCCGCCGCCGCCACCGCCGCCGCCGCCCCGCCGCAGCCGCCGCAGCCGGTGCCGCCGCCACCGCCGCCGCCGCCGCCGCCGCCTCCCCCGCCGCCGCCGCCGCCGCCGCCACCGCCGCAGCCGCCGCAGCCGCTGCCCCCGGCGCAGCCGCCGCCAAGTGTACTGCGTATTGTTTTTTGACAAGGATGGTGGGTGGAGGCCGCATCGGATTCGCTGCGCATGCTCCGATCCGAATTTGGAGGCAGAGAGTGTGTGCGTCCCAGTCGCTCTGGGGGGAGGGGGGAGGGGGTGTATACGAATAGCGAGCAGTGATCAAGCTACCCACCCGCCCGCTTTCCGTCTAGCTCACTCCCACCCGCCCCCCCCCAATACCTAAGTAACACCCGAGCCTGATCATGTTCAGCGGTCGTCTTTGGATGGACAGATACTGGGAACCAAAGCCGACCCCAGGTGCGCGATGTTTGGGCGAGGTGCGCCAAGCGTGCCAGGGGCGGCACGCGCGCCATGCACCTCTGGGGCCCGAGCGTGCCAGGCACGCCTGGTGCGCCAGATGCGCCACGTGCTCCGAGTGCGCCAGGTGTGCCGCATACTCGAACCGCACCGGGTGCGCCACGTTCGGGGCAAGTGCAGAGTGCACAGGTGCGCCTGCGCACGTGAGAGCACACATCGGGAAACATGTCCGCGCCCGTAATCCTTGTTAAAACCAATGCCAATCATTGTGTTTGGTGGTCCTACGTTCACCAGGCCGTGCGCCACCACCCCCGCCGTCCCTGTCAAAAACGACTTGGCAGTGATCGCGGGGTAGCCGCGCATGATCCAGATGTAGCCACGAGGTGCATTGTGTATTGTGTATTGTTTTGCGTCAGGGATGCTCGCCCTGCGCGCAGCAGGGAATATGCTGACATCCGCGCCGTCCCTGTCAAAGAACCATACAGAGTGCTCCTGGGCCTTGCGAGCATGACTTCAGACTTTGCCTCACATTGTACTTTTCATTGTTTTTGTCAGGGATGGTGGGGGGGCGCATCGGGTTGGCCTCGCATGCTCCACATGTGGGGGCAGAGTGAGGCTTGTATTGCCTTTTGACCGGGATGATAGGGGGCGGGCCCGCCGCCGGCCGGGTGGGGGAGGGGGGTATACCAATACGAAACAGTGGTAAACCCTTCGCCAAAGAGGAAGAGGGAAGATGGAAGGAGAAATTCTCGAAACCACTACCGGTTTAAAGGGCTCGTGGGATTTGGAGATCGCAAACTGTCTAGCTCACTCCCACCCGCCCTCCCAACACAAAAGTATCATCCGAGCATCAGCATGTTCAGTGGATAGACAGCTGCGGGGAACCAAAAGTGAGCCCATGTGCGCGACGCTTGGGCGAGGTGCGCCACGCGTGCCAGGGGCGCCACGCGCGCCAGGCACCCCTAGGGCCCGAGCGTGCCAGGCACGCCTGGTGCGCCAAATGCGCCACGTGCTCCGAGCGCGCCAGTTGTGCCGCATACTCTAGCCGCACCAGGTGCGCCACGTTCGGGGCAAGTGCAGAGTGTGTCAGGTGCGCCTGCGCACGTGAGAGCACACATCGGGAAACATGTCCGCGCCCGCAATCCTTGTTAAAAACCAATGCCCATCATGGCGCACAGCATGCCACAGCACAGCGCACAGCATGCCATACGCCGCCACCGTTGCCGTCCCTGTCAAAAAACACTTGGCAGTGATCGCGGGGTAGCCGCGCATGATCCAGATTTTGCCGCGAAGCGCATTGTGTATTGTTCCTTGGTCAGGGATGGTAGCCCTGCACACAGCAGGGATGGCAGCCCTGCGCACAGCCGTTCCGGTTAAAAAGTAATTCAACGTGCTCGCGACCCTCACGAACATGACTCCAAACTTGGCCCCAAAGTGTACGTTGTATTATTTCTGACAGGGGTGGTAGGGTGGCCGCATCGGGTGGGCCGCGCATGCTCCGAATTTGGAGGCAGAGTGTGCTTCGTATTGTGTTTTGAGAAGGATGGCTGGGGTGTGTGATCATGGTGTCCTCATTGTTCCTGGTTGGCTTGGAGGGGGTGTATGTGAATAGGGAACAGTAGTGGTAAACCCCTCCCCGAAAGGGAAGAGGGAAGATGGAACAATAAACTCTCGAAACCGCTCACGCCCTAAAGGGCTGGTGGGGTTTAGAGCACGTCGTGGCCGCTCCAGCGCGAGTCGATGGGCGGCCGAGGTCGTTCAGTCCTCAACGAGTTATGGTAATTGCTATGGGAGTGATCGGCGCAGGAGGGGACGACTTTCTCGGAATCGAAGTTCGAGGGTTTTTTTCTGTCACAGGGTCGTCGGTTCCTGGCGGTTTTCCATTCTCGGGGTGCGTTGCAGCAGCTGCACCTCGCACGCCCCCCCCCCTTGAGCTGACCTCCCCCTAGTATCGCGCCCCTCAGAAAGGGGGGCGGTCAACCCAGCCACCCGAGGTTTTGAAACAACAAAGCGGAGGTGTCTGGTATTCCCACATCCTAGGTGGGGTTCTTGTTCCCCGCATCCCAAGTGGGATTCTTGTTTTCGCTTGGACACCCCGCGCAGTCCTCTTACTCCCTCCTTTTTCATCCGTTTCTCCAATTACTTTCATCATGATCACCATTACCATCGCCAGACCTGTCACCATTACACCACCACCCCTACCATCAGCCATCACCACTGTCTCATCATAATCACCGACCACCGATCGATATCATCATCACCCCATCGTCATCACCATCATCCCCGCCACCATTATCACCAGCACCACCATCATCATCACCATCATCATCATCATCATCATCACCATCATCATCATCATCATCATCACCGTTGCACACCCATTCACTCACACACACACACTGTCACACTCATCTTGAGCGAGTCTCGAGCGGGAGCTTCGTCTGTGAGTGACTTGCCAGGAAGTCTCACGCGGGAGCCCCCTCCTTAAAGGGCCCGCGCCTTACGCTTTTCATCCGAGGAGGCCATCCTCAAACATGGAAGCGTCGTCACCGCTGTCCTATCCAGTCCTTCAGATGGCGGAAGTCTCGAGCGGGGGCCTCGACTGTAAGTGAATTGCGAGGAAGTGTCAGGCGGGAGCCACCTCCATTTGATGCCCGCAGATCATGCTCGTAACCCGACGCACAGCACTCGAGCCCCCCAAGGGGCGAACAAGTGAATTGCGAGGAATTCCCATGCGGGAGCCCCCTCCCTCTGGTGCCGGCGGATCATGTCAGCAATCCGAGCACTGTAGCAGGCCTAGCACTTAAGCATTGTAGCAGGCCTAGCACTTGAGCATCCCAAGGAGGCAAATCGTGAGGGTGTCCCGAGCGGGGGTCTCATATATGTGTGATCTGCGAGGGAGTCTTACGCGGGAGCCTTCCCCCTTGTGGGGGCCGCAGATCATGTGAGTAATCCGAACGGGCCACTGGTGTATTGTAGCGGGCATATCACCCGAGCACCCCGGGGCTTGCAAATCGTGTGGATGTCTCGAGCGGGGGCCTCGTCTGTGAGTACATGTCGAGGAGTTATCTCCCTCCCTATGGGGCCCGCCGATTGTGTCAATAATCCGAGCGGGCCGCCCGCGTATTGCAACAGGCGTAGCACTTGAGCACCCCAAGGGGGCCCATCGTGAGGACGCCTCGATTGGGCGTCCCGTTTGCGAGGGAATGGCAAGACAACCTCTGGCGGGAGCCCTCTCCCCACGGGGTCCCCGCCTCACGTTGGTAGTCTGAACGGATATTCGGTGTAGTGCAGCAAGCATAGCACTCAATCCCCCCAGGGGGCTGAAAATGCGCGGATGCTCGGAACGGGGGTTCTGTGCGTGGGCGACTTGCGAGGACGTCGCATGCGGGAGCCCCCTCCCCATGGGGCCCGCACCTCATGTGTTCGTTTCGAGCGGGTCATCGGGATCCTATCTGTCGTCGTGCTTGGGCTCTTGCGCTTTGAATCTGCAGGCCATGTCGAGCGGGAGCTCATTGTAGGTGAGCGGCGAGGAAGCGTCGAGCGGGAGCCAAGCGGCTCGTCTGCGAAAAATCGTTTCGACGCCCACGTTTGCAAGAGGTCTGCCTGGGTGGCGGGTAGCGAAGGTCGACGGGCTGCGAAGAGCATGTCGCAGTTTTGGGGTGGCCGGCGAGTTGCTCCAGGGAGCCAGGGGCGCTGACGACGAAGGCGAGGCCGCGGCGCGGATGCAGGACGAGCAGGAGGAGGACGAGGCCGAGGAGGAGGAGGAGGAGGAGGAGGAGGAGGTCTTGTCCCGAGCTGCTTTCTCCTGGCTCTCCCGGAGCGCAGGGACAATGACACGCGGTCATTCTCATACTCGCGGCCGCCGAGCTGGCTGCCCTGGAGAGAGGAGCCTGCCCCCCCCGGCGCCCCGCGGCCCCGAGGACGCCCCGTGGCGCCGGGGCGAGGCGGCGCCGGGGCCCCCGTCCGCCCCGCGCCGCCGCGCCCTCGCCCCCGGCGGCGCCGGGCCGGCGGCCGCGCCAGGCTCGGGGCGGCCTCGGCGTCGGCGTCGGCGTGGCAGTTGGCGTCGGCCAGAGATCCAACTCATTGAAAAAATCAAGACGGAGGTGTTTCGCGAAATTCGGCCCCTAGGGGCCCTTGCCGGGCCTCGGGACTGTCAAAAAACGACTCAGGATGAAAAACCGGTCCTGGGGAAGGGATCGAGACTTCCGGGGACCCCGTATTGAAAAAGTCACGACATCGGATCTCAGGGGTCGTCGTCGTCGTCGTCGGCGGCGGCGGCGGCGGCGGTGGCGTCGGCGGCGGCGGCGGCGTCGTCTCGGGCGGGCGGCAGAGGTGGGGGACCATGCCCCCAGATCTGGGCGGGGCATTTTGTTCACACTGGGCGCTTTCGCTCGGTTTCGAGCCCCAGGGCTCGTCCCGCCGGACCTGGCCCGCCACGCCTTGGCTCGACACGGTAATCATCCACGTCGCCATCTCCCAAGCGTCAACGTCCTGAGCTGTTCCCAGCATCCCGCCCGGCGAATCGGGGCGACACGCTATCCTGTTGGGCGTAGGCCGCCGTTACGACGCGCTGAGCAAAAGTTCCCGACCGCAGGCGTCAGGAAGCGCTTTCCCTCACCGCTGCTGATGGAACGCCCCGCTACTTTCATCGCCCCGCTAATGATCCACATTCCCCGCTAGAATTGCCCGCCCGCTAATGACCTGTTGATGGCCCACAAAACTGGCTTCACTCACGGCCCCGCTAGTGGCCCACTATCTGAATTTGGCTTCCTCATGGCCCACGAATGAAATCTACCCATAAATCCCCCACGAATGGCACACAAATGATATGACAATGATTTTTGATGCACGAGTGGGCCAGTAATTGTCTTCGAACTGTTCGCTTCTTATCTTTCTTTCGCGTCAACGCTATTGCAAAGATCACGAGTGCCAAATCAGGCGGTCATTAGCGTGCCATTGGCCAGGTCCGAAGGTACTGTGAGACAGGGCCCTTCATGGTTGATAGGGGGATCGATGATTGCAGGAACGTGCCTCTAGTCCCCAGATTGCCCGTATACTGCCGCCGCAGGCCCAAAAGGTGCACGAAAGGCGGGCGTTTCCCCACCCCCGTTGATGCCCCCGTGTGAAAGAGCACCCGAGTCTCGGGAGGAATAATGAGGATACGTGCGTTGCCCCCCAGAGTGTGTGTGTGTGTGTGTGTGTGTGTGTGTGTGTCGGTGTCGGTGTCGGTGTCGGTGTTTTCAGTCTTTTGCGATACGAGCGCCGCTTCATGTCTCAATGGTGGCACGTTGATAGGTCGTCCGACCGCCGAGAGGTTGATATTGATTTTGCTATCGAATCGACGTCGTCGTCGGCTGAGCGAGGATCTTCGTCGGAGTCGACTGATCGAGGATCGTCGTTGTCGTCGCCTGATCTGCTCCACTCTGTCCTTCCTCCCTCCCTCAACATCCGAAGTTGCCAACGTTACCCTATGTCGTACCTAACCGATTGGCATCAAGTGACCAGATTAGTTCGCCCGCATGTTTATGGGTGGTGACATCGTCAGATTCGTCATGTGTCGTGCAATATGTATGGGAAGCGCGCGCGTCGAACGACTTACAGGACAGCAACGGAAGGACGAGGACAGAGGCCCCTGGCCCGAACAGGAAACGCGGGCGGGAACGGGGGGCAGGAGAACAGCGCAAGCGGGAGCGGAACACTCAACGCGGCAGCAGCAGGGAAACGGTGGAAGGAGGACACGGACGATAACGAGAGAAGTCGAATGAAGAGAGAGGGTATCGGCAATTTCCCCATAGCACGCTGGACAAGCAGCGCGGCCCGCGCAATGTCGCCCTGGCGCTCCATGGGGCCAGGTCTTGTTTAGCGAGTGCAAGAAACGAGCTCGCCTGCCTGCCAGCTCCTCCGCCTCCTTCCCGCACCCTTTTCGGCGCCGGATCTGCACGCCCGCCGGCGCGTCGCTGGGTCTGCGGGTGGCCCGCGGGCAAGGGAACCAAGGCTAGGGTCGCGCATTAACAGCAGCTTGCCCACCGTCGCCGCCCAGGACAGCATCGCGTAGAGGTTCAGGCAGGGGGCGTCCACGTCCCGCGCGTCCGTGAAACCAGCGTCGGCCACGACTCCGAGAAGCACGTCCCGGCCCTGGCAGGCCGTGGGCGCCAGGACTTCGGCGCGGGAGATGATCAGGTCGTGCGCGTGGCCTGTCGAACGGGAGGTTTGACGAAGACGGAGCCAACCGCGCCCGTGGGGTCGATGGTGCGATCGAGGCCCACGAGCTTCATGCCGCGAGCACCGAAGAATGCGCGCGGCATCGAAAAGCGCAGTCATGCCATGCTTCACAAATAGGAAATACGGAATGATGAGCATACCTGGAGGGCGATTCGTCAAATCCTGGTCAGGGCGTCTCAAATTTGCACCCAAGTAGCTTTCAATGTTTGAGAGTTGCAGCCCGTCCGCGACGGCGAGGTCGCATCTGAATCTGCGTAGCGCGCCATTCCGCTGGGCCCCCCCAGCAACCCTCGAAAAGTGTCGACAGTCTCGCAGATCGCGGCCCCACACGGACGGCGGGATCGAATCTGAATTTGCGTAGCGCGTCGCGCTGCTGGACCCCCCAGCGGGCCTCGAAACTGGCGACTGTTTCGCAGATCGTTGCCCCCCAGAGACGGCAAGGTTGAATCTGACTGAATAAATATAGCGCGTCACTCCGCAAACCCCCCCCCGCCGCAAACCGAAAGTGGCGACAATTTCGCGGATCGCAGACTCCCAGGGATGGTAAGGTCGAATTCGGTTCTGCGTCAGACGCCAGTCCGCTGAACCCTTTCAACAGCCGACGAAACCGGACCCCATGGATGGACTGGTTTCATCTGAGCTTTCGCACGACGTCGTTCTGCTGGGCCTCCAAGCAGCCCACGAAAGTGACGACCGTTTTGCAGACCGCAGCCCTCAAGGATGGCGAGGTCGACTTTGAGTCTGCAAGAAAATACGCCAGTCCGCCTCAGCAAAGTTTGAAATTGGCGACGGTCTCGCACATCGCAGTCCCACAGGGACGGCGATGTTTAATTTGAGTATGCGGCGAGGCCCCACTCCGCTGGTCCCTCCAGCAGTTTTCGAAAGTGGGGACAGAGCCGCAGATCGCGGCCCTCCCTGGGGAGTGCGAGGTAACAGAGGACGGTGAGGTCGGCAGTCGGGCAGGTGCATCCCGGGTGGAGGGCACGAACAAGGAGGATGGAGAGGAGGAACGAGAAGAGGGAGGAGGCGGGAAGGACGGAATGAGGGTCGCGACCGCGGCAGTCTATTCAAAACGAGATCCCAAGTCAGGAAGGCAGGGCGAAATACAACATCGCAGAACATCGCGCGACGTGAACCCTGGGCCCCATCCTTTTGCGTCACGTTTCGAGCGATGTGTTTGTGTGTGTGTGAGAGAGAGAAGGTCCCGGGGCACGGAACAGGGCGCACACGCCCGTTATGGAAGCACTGTCACGCCAGGATCTCAGGGTCCTTCCCTTGGGGGGTAATGATGGGGGGGGGAGAGGCATATGGGGTGAACGCATCGACCCCACCCCGCTCAGGAGCGCGCGGATCTACTTTCGGAGGGCTCCATCTCCGACCCATCGACGATGCCTCGCCGATTCCATAGCAATGTCCCCCCTCGTATACCATCCCCATCCTCATCCTCATCCTCATCCTCCTCCCCACTCCTCCTCCTCATCCTCCTCCCTCTTCCTCCTCCTTCCACTCCTCCTCCTCCTCCTCCTCCTCCTCCTCCTCCTCCTCCTCCTCCTCCTCCTCCTCCTCCTCCTCCCCCTCGTATACCAGTCCCTCCTTGTTGTTGCCCCTCAGGGTCCCTCCTCCATTCCCTCCCTCCCTCCTCCGCTCCGCCCTCCTGCCTCCTCGCGAGCTGCTCGATCGGGGCACTCCTCGTTGGACTGCGCCGAAGACCGCTTTTGGAACCTCGAGAGACCGCCCGACACCCCGCCGACGACGGTCAGACGACCGCCGGCGAAAAGCCGCCCGAAGACCGCCGGAGACGGCCCAGGAGCGATGGATAATCGGGCCGAACGAAAGGGGGGGATACGGAAAGGGGGGGCTAGGAAATTTGCTGCATGCAGCTGGTTTCGGCCCCGCCGAGGGGCCCATTCCTGGATACATGCGCGCCTCCGGCGCCGGGAGGCGCTGGGAAAATCAGCTACGTGAGCTGATTCTCAAACCCCCCCTTTGCTCTCCCCCCCTTTCGCCCAGGCCGAGATAACAGGGGGTCCATGGTCGAACACGTAACCGTCTGCTGCTGCTCGCACTTTCCTTTCCTGAAGGGGCCCTGAGACACACAAATGAATATACACAAATCAACAGGTTCCCCCTGTTTTCCTCTATTTTCTTGGTGTTTGTCTCCCCCCCACTTCCGATATTTTTGATTATTTTCCTGGGAGTCGACGATTCATTGTGTCTGTGTGTTTTTTCCCCTTCTGATTTCCCCTGTACATTCTGGCAGCCCGGCCCAGGCACTGGCGCCCCAGTGATCGGTTCCCCGCCGCGCAGCCCCGGGTGACGGGGCGCGCTGCCGCACACGCGTTTCTTTTCCCGCGCCGAGGGGTGCTTCCCGAAGAGGTGCAGCCGCAACGCCAGGTAGAGGAAGTGGATGAGGGGGGGAGGAGGGAGGGAGGGGGACGGAGAAGGAGGAAAGGGAGGAGGAAAGGGAGGAGGAAAGGGAGGAGGAGGAGGAGGAGGAGGAGGAGGGGAAGAGGAGGGAGGGCAGGATAGGGAGGAAGGGAGAGAGGAAGATGATCAGGATGAGGATGAGGATGAGGATGAGGGTGAAGGTGAGGATGAGGATGAGGATGAGGATGAGGATTAGGTTGATGATGATGGATGAGGATGAGGATGAGGATGAGGATGAGGATGAGGATGAGGATGAGGATGAGGATGAGGATGAGGATGAGGATGATGATGATGATGATGATGATGATGATGATGATGATGATGATGACGAAGATGACGATGACGATGACGATGACGATGACGATGACGATGACGATAATGATGCTGATGCTGATGCTGATGATGATGATGATGATGATGATGAGGAGGAGGAGGAGGAGGAGGAGGAGGAGGGTCCGCAGCCATTTTGGCTCAAGGCCGCTTGTAAGAGCTTCATCCGCCGCATCAGGCCACCGTGGGGGGGGGGGTGCAGCTCCCGTCCCCACGGCCAACCGCAGCGCGATGGCGGCTCACGCTGCGGGCGCCAACAGCCCAGGACGAGCAGGGCTACGAGAAGACCACGGGCCTCACGAGACCTAGGCCAGCCAAGGTTATGCGCAGGTTGGTTTGTGCAGTAAGGCGTAACAAGTCCATCAGAGAAAGCGACGTGCACGCCTTCATGCAGGACGTGGCACTCAGCACATCTTCGTGCAGGTGCCAGTGGACTACGGCCACGGCACCACCTGTGGCTACGAGGCCAACGGCTACGAGTACGACGCTTACCAGTGCGGTTCCACGTACGAGTTTGACTACACTGATCTCCCTGCCAAGCTCCCCCATGCCACGCCTGGCCAGCGACATGGGCAAGACCTTCGATGGCGCTGGGCTACGAGAAGGCGCTGGGCTGCGAGGGCCGCGGGAAAAGCCCCGAGAACCACCAGCTGAGCTACGAGAGGCACCATCGGAGAGCCACAAGCCAAATTACGAGGGCCACCAGCTGAATCACAACAGCCACGAGGAGAGCCCCGAGAGCCACCGCCACACATACGAGGACCACTTGCTGAGCTACGAGGGCAGAAAGCTGAGCTACGAAGGCCGCGAGCAGAGCTCCAACAACCACCAGCTGAACTGCGAGAGCTACCAGCGGAGTTACGAGGGCCACCGGCTAAGCTACGTGAGCCACCAGCTGAGCTGCGAGAGCCTCTTGCGGAGCTACCAGGGCGGCCTTCTGAGCGACGCTAGCCACCAGCGGAGCAATCAGGACCACAAGCTGACCGAAGAGAACCTCCACCTGAGCTACGAGGACCACAATCAGAACAACGAGGGCCCCAAGCTGGGCTGCAAGGGCCACGCGCAGGGCTACGAGGGCCTCCGGCTGAGCAGCGAGGGCCGCGAAGGAAAGCCTCCAGCAGAGCTACGAGTGCCACCGCGTGAACTACAAGAGCCACGAACAGAGCCTCGAGAGCGTTCAGCACATCTAAGAGGACCACCTGCTGGGCTACGAGGGCAACTCGCCGAGCTACGAAGGCCGCGAGCAGAACTCCGACAACCACCAGCTGATCTGCGGAAACTTCCAGCGGAGCAGCGAGGGCCCGAGGCTGAGCCACGTGAGCTACCAGCTGAGCTGCGAACGCCTCTTGCGGAGCTTCCAAGGCCACCCGCTGAGCCGCCCCAGCCACCAGCGGAGCAACCAGGGCCGCAGGGTGACCTACGACAACCTCCACCAGAGCTGCGGTGGCCACGAGCTGAGCGACGAGGATGCCAAGGCGGGGCTAGAATGGCCACGCGCAGGGCTACGATAACCTCCAACTGAGCTGCGCAAGCCACCAGCCCAGCTACGGGGGCCACCAGGTGATCTGTGCGGGCTACCCGCAGGGCTACGAGGACCACTGGCTGGGCGACCAGCCCATCTTGGAGGACCAAAATCAGTGTTGGGAGGAGAGCGACAGCTTCGGGGAGAAATGCAGCCTTAAGAACCATAGACGGAAGAGGACACGTGGCATGGTCGCGTCAAGTGGTCAACCGCCGCTACGGCTACGGTTTTGTACAAGTGTTCTTCATATAACGTGGACTCCCCACCTAACGTCACGCGGGCCTCGGTGACACCGAGCCTGGCCCGCGCGGATTGGGCGTGACACCTGCATACCAGCGACACGTTTGTCTCTGAATGATGCTCCGACCTGTGCGTGGGCCGCATCTCTGAAATTGCAGCTGCCACTTGGGCGCCGACTACGTCCTTCATTGCGCGCGTCGTTCTCCCCATGGGTCTTGCGTTGCTGTCGCCTGTGCCCCAGCGACATCCTTCATTGAGCATGTCGTTCTCGCCTTGGTGCTGGCCACATATTTGATTGAAAATGATGCTGTCGCCGAGGTGCTGGCGACACTCGTCATTGAGCATGTCCTTCTCGCTGTGGCGCCGGCCATACCTCGGACCGAAGATGTTGCTGTCACTTGGGCACTGGCGACATTCTTTATTGCGCATGGCGTTCTCGCCTTGGCGCAAGCCGCATCTCTGATTGAGAATGTTGCTGTTGCAATGGCTCCGGCAACATCCTTCAATGAGCATCTCGTTCTCAATCCATCGCGGGCCACATATCTCTCAACAAATTTGCAGTTTTGCTTGCAGCACACATGATTGCGATCATCGTTCCCGCCTCAGCGCGGGCCGCACTCGCGACTCGAAATGGTGTTTTCGCCTACGGCCCAGGCTCCGGCTGCGCGCATAATTGCGGTTCTTGTTCTCGCCTCAGCGCGGGCCGCGCTCTCGCCTGGCCCCGGCCGATAATATGATTGCGAATATTGTTGTCACCTCTGCCGCTTCGGCGCTGGCCGCGCCCTTGACTACGTCTTGTTCGTATGGTTTACCATCGTTCGGGCGCCCGCCACATCCTGCTTGCGAGCGCAGTTCTCGCCAGAGGGGAAAACGGGGCCTTACGAGTTTGTGGGGTGCGCAAGCTTCCCGATCGCGGCCCCATTTGCGGCCATTTTGGCGCCAAGGTGCCGCTTGGGTTTCTTCGCGTCTTGCTAGTGGCTATCGTAGTGCAGGTCGCACTGGTGCCGGTGGTGCCGCTAGTAGTATTACGCATGGTGGTGCTGATTGCTGTCGTGTTATTCACAGTGGTGTTGTTTCTGATGACGCTCCTCACATTGGTACTCCTCGTTGCACTTGTGCGGGTGCGCGTAGTTTTTTTTTGTTGTTGTTTCCGTCGGGCAGGTCGCAATGGGCTGCTGATGGCGCTGGTAGTGTTACTCGTTGTGCTGCTGGTTCCCGTCGTGCTGGTCACACTGGTACAGCTGGAGGCGCTGGTGCTGCAGCTTCGTGACACGCTCCTGCCTCTGGCGATATTCATCACACTTGTACTGTTCGTTGCGCTTGCGTTGGTGCGCGTAGTCTTGCTGTTTTCCGTCCTGCTGGTCACAGTGGTGTTGCTGGTGGCGTTGACAGAGCTGCGCGTGGTGTTGCTGCTTCCCATCCTGTTGGTCACGCCGGTGCAGGTGGTGGTCGTGCTGCTGCGTTTGGTGCTGCTGCTTCCTGTCGTGCTGGTCACGGTGGTACTGCTCGTTACGCTTGCGTTGCTGGTTACCGTCGTGCTGGTCACACTGGTGCTGTTGTTGCGTTAGTGTTGGGGCGCGTAGCGCTGCTGCTTCCAGTCGTGTTGGTCGCGTTGTTCTTGCTGGTGGCACTGGCAATGCTGCGCGTGGCGCTGTTGCTTCCCGTCTTGATTGCCACAGTGCTACATGCTGTGGCGTTTATGTTGCTGCGCGTGGTGCTGCTGTTTGCTGTCGTGAGGCTCACCAAGTTGCTAACGGTGGCGCTAGCGTGGGTCCCATTATTGCAGTGCTGCTGCTGGCGTTCGTGCTGCTGCTGGGGGTGCTGCTAGTTCTTGCCGCACCAATCACACTGGTGCTGCTGGTGGCGCTGGTGATGCTGCGGGTAGAGGTGCTAGTCTGAGTCGTGCTACCCACTGAGGCACTGCTGGTGGCCCTAGTGCTGCTGCGAGTGGTGCTGATGTTTCCTGTTGTGCTGGTCGCCGTGGAATCGTTCGTTGCGCTCGCGCTTTCCCTGCTGCGTGCCCGACGAGTGGCGGCCCGCAGCCGCCACAGCGGGCAATTACGACGCCAGCGCACGGCGGCTGCCGGACGCCCCGGACGACGACGGTGGGAGGGCGCTACCCAGTGGCCGCTGCTAGCCAGGTTACGCGCCCGTGCTGGCCAGGCAGGGCGCCGGTGCTGGGCGCTGGATTTGCTGGCCCAGACCAGCGGCGGCAGGCGGTGGGCGCTGACGGCGGGCCCACGCCGAGCCAATGGCCCGTCCTCGCGCTCGCCCTGGCGCTCTGGGTTAGCGCTGCTATTATAGGCCTCGGGTGGCGCAACCCTTCCCCTTGGGAGCGACCGCCGATCGGGCTTGGGCAGAGCATCGGTTGCTCCTGGGGTGTGGTTCGCACCTGTTCCCAGCCAAGCTTCGCGCGGACGCATTGCGCATTTCTGCTCTGGGGCACCCCCAGTGCCCAGCACAAAATCGAACAACTTGGGCCGTGACGCTTTGCGCTGGAGTATGGGAATGCCTCCACCCCACTTGCCTGGCCAGCGGGTGGGGTAGGGGCGCTCGCGCAGTCCAGCACGAATCGCGTGGCACTGCTGGTTCCCGTCGTGCTCGTTCTAGTGGAACTGCTGGTTCGCTGCTGCGCGTGGTGTTGCTGCTTTCCGTCGAGCTGCTTCCAGTGGTGCTGTTGGTGGCGCTGGTGCTGGCGCGCGTCGTGCTGCTGGATCCTTTCGTGCGAGTCTTGGCGGCGCTGCTCCTTGCGCGTGTGCTGGTGCTGCTGGTGGCAGTTGTGGTGCTTCGGGTGGCGCTGCTACTCCCCGTCGTGCTGATCACACTGGTGCTGCTCGTTACGCTTGCGCTGCTTGTTACACTTGTGCGTCTGTGCTGGTGCGCG